TGGCAAACGAGACAGCGTCCCTGATTCTTGATCGTCGACGGAGGTCGGAACTCCGGATTCTTTCTCTCATTTGAGTGAAACGTGATACTCCAAGCATAGCTCTTTTGATTCCTCTTCGGGAGACCCGAATAGCCTTCTCATCTTGTTTGCGTAGGGCCCAGGTCTCTGAGGCATATGTTAATGCAGGAAGAACAGTGGAATCAAAGAGATGTGACCAGAGCCGGAGGTTCTTCATCCTCTTAGCTATTTCTTCGACGCTCTTGAAGGCGTTCCAAGCCGCTCTCTTCCTCCTGCGCAACTCAGGTGCCAGGTCATTCATCATGTTGACTTTCTCGACCGAGGTACACATAACTGCTGCATTCCGTTGAGAGTGAAGTTCTCTGTCAGTGCCCTATAAACAGCCCCTGGGGGCCCGTGAGAACCCAGCAGTGTTTTCAGGCATGTGCAAAGGCATAGGAAGAACCATCCTGCCAGGTCCGGGGGTCATGGAGAGCAGAGCAAGGGGCTTGGAGAACAGGAAGTAGCCCGCCCCCACCTCCCACCTGCACTGTTGGAAGTGATGTTTTTCTTGGTCCTGGAACCACACCCAGTGGTGCTCAGTGTTGACTCCTGGTTCTCCCATTGGGTATTACTCAGTGGGGGGCGGAGGGGAGAGAGGGTTTATGGTGGTCTTAGGCAAATCTTGTGTGTTTCAGGGTGTCAACCTGGACTGTCTGCATGCAAGATAAGTGCCCTCCCTGATGTGCTATGACTCACCTGGTCACCATGTACCTTGGAGCTTGTTTAAGCCTTTTCTCTTTTTTTGGGGGGGGGAGGGGTCACACTCGGTGATGCACGGGGCTTACTCTTGGCTTATGCACTCAGGAATCACTCCTACCGGTGCTCGGGGGACCCAATGGGATGCTGGGAATCGAACCTGGTTCGGCTGCGTGCAAGGCAAACGCCCTACCCGCTGTGCTATTGCTCTCAGCCCTGGAGTTTGTTTAAGCTTTTGAGTCACATCAGACTTATGCTCAGGGGACCCCAGATGGTGTCAGGCTCTGACCTGTGCTGTCAGCGTACATGGCAAGTGCCCTCCCAACTGTAATCTCTCTCTCTCTCTCTCTCTCTCTCTCTCTCTCTCTCTCTCTCTCTCTCTCTCTCTGGTTTGCTCCTCTCCCTCCAAGAGCGATGGAGTTTTGGGGTCACTCCTGGCGGTGCTCAGGCTGACTCCTGGCTCTGTGCTCAGGGGTCAGTCACTCTTTGGGGTTTGGGATGCCAGAGAGTGAATCTGGGTCATTGCATGCATGCAAGGACAACACACTCCCTGTTTGGCCTTGGGTCATTTTTTTTTTTTTTGCTTTTTGGGTCCCACCTGGCGATGCTCAGGGGTGACTCCTGGCTCTGCACTCAGGAATCACTCCTGGCGGTGCTCAGGGGACCATATGGGATGCTGGGGATCGATCCTGTGTCAGCCATGTGCAAAGCAAACGCTCTCCCCGCTGTGCTATCGCTTCAGCCCTGCCTTGGGTCTTTCTGAAACCTTTTCTGTGTGGGACACAGTCTTGCCCCGCCCCTGTCAGTCATGTACCAGTCACCGGAAGTCTGGGCAGGATGTCACACGATGCCCCTCTCCTCCCCAACCTGGTCTGCAAACAGCACCTCTTGCACAGTCGTACCCACTATCACCACTCCAGGCCACCCCTGCCGGTTGCTGTCAGCATCTCTCCCCACAGATTCGGGGGGGGGTGTCCCAGCAGAACCAGGGATGGAACCGGCGTCCCCCACATCAAATCAGGCGCCCCGAGCCCTGCGTGCCTCTAGGGCCCCCAAATGACACTGTCCCAGAGGCCTCGCATGAAGGCGAGTTCCCCAATTTGGCCCTCCCCCACGTTCCCTACCTTGTGTTGGCGTCTTGGCCTGCATGACAGGCTGACACCGTGGTGCGATTTTTTAATTTCTTTTTGAGTCCCACCCGTCGATGCTCAGGGCTGACTCCTGGCTCATGCACTCAGGAATCACTCCTGGCGGTGCTCGGGGGACCCTAGGGGATGCTGGGAATTGAACCTGGTTCAGCCGCGTGTAAGGCCGACACCCTTCCCGCTGTGCTATCGCTCCGGCCTCACCATGGTGTGATTCTAAGGTGCAGGTCGAGATGCGGTGCCTTACCTTTGACAGACAATTGAAGACGCCCTGGGGTTCCATGTCTGGCCGATGTGTCTCTGGCTAAGTGCCACAGTTGCTGGCCCCAAGCTGTCCCAGTGCGAGTCTTCAGCCACACACCCATGAACTGCCATGACCCTCTGATCACTGCTCTGTTCTCTCGAGAGGCGCAGTTCTTGTTTTCCTCGCATCATTCAAATTGGTTCCACCTGCACTAGGCCCGCCTGCCTTTATCCACTCATGCCCCCCGCCCTTCACCCACACAGACCGTTTCTAAGACCCCCGTCAAACGGGTCTGGAGAGAGAAATGCTCTGCGCTGACGACACCTGAACCCAGCCCAGGTGACTAAAGGCCCTGCCAACCGCGTTTTGTGTGGCCATGTGTGATTTCTTCCTTTCCTTTTTTTTTTTCTTTTGCTTTCTGGGTCCCACCCAGTGATGCTCAGGGTTTCCTCCTGGCTCTGCACTCAGGGCTCACTCCTGGTGGTGCTCGGGGGACCCTATGGGATGCTGGGAATCGAACCCGGGTTGGCCACATGCAAGGCAAATGCCCTCCCCACTGTGTTATTGCTCCAACCCCCAATTCCTTTTCTTTTTTTCCAATCAGCTTTGGTGAATCTTCCAAAAACATTAGCTGTTGGGGCTGGAGCGATAGGACAGCAGGGAGGGCGTTTCCCTTGCACGCGGCCGACCTGTATTAGTACAACTGCTCCATTTTTTTTTTTGCGGGGGGGGGGGGGGACGGTCTTCAGTCAAGACAGCCCAGCAGGAGAGCTTTTCTCGTCCAGCACGCTAAGTTTGTCATCTTAGGAGTGGCCGGGAGCTTGCATCGCTCTGCAAAGCTAAGAGCTGAGAAAAAGGCCACCCAGGGCTCCCGAGACTACCAGCATTGCTGTCCACCATCCCTCCCACGAAAACACAAAAGTGGGGTGACTCTCCATACCCCCACTCTCTGAGCTGCCCCTCCCTGCCACCTCCTGGCCCCAGGGCTGAACTAATTATTCAGGAAGGAACATTTGACCATCGTGACTCACAGGGCAGTGAGTCAGAGGAGTGGATGCGGCACTGTGGGTGCGATATTCTCCGCTCTGCCCACAGTGTGTCACCCCAACTTCACTGGCCCCGATCAGAACAGCCTTATAAGGGGTCTGAGAGATAGCACCGCAGGGAGGGCGTTTGCCTTGCATGCAGCCGACCCGGGTACGATCCTGACTCCACACAATGTCCCACCGAGTAACGTCAGGAGTGACCCCCAAGTGCAGAGTCAGGAGGAACCCCTGACCATCGCCGAGTGTGACCCAAAAATCACTGCATCGCCGTCATCCTGTTGTTCGTCGACTGACTCAAGCGGGCGCCAGTAACGTCTCCCTTCGTCCCAGCCCTGAGATTTTCGCAGCCTCTTCTTACTCGTCTTTCCCAATGCTGCCGTATTGGGGGCTCCTTTGGGGTCAGGGGAATGAGACCCGTTAATGGTTACTATTTTTGGCATATCGAATATACACCACGGGGAGCTTGCCAGGCTCTGCCATGCCACTCAAAAACACAAACAAAAAAAGAGCATCCCCTCGGATCCCACTGCGGCTGTCGACCTCCCAGAAACAGGAAGTGGAAGCGACTTGACTTGGTGTCCCTCCAGCCTCTTGGCCCTGACCTACTTTCCTCTTTCCCACGCCCCAGATCCCCCATTCTGCCTTCCATCTGCCCCCCGGGGTTGCCCCTAAGTCTCTGCTGTCATGGTCTAATGCGCCCCCTCCCCTCCCACGTCCCCCAGAAAAATCAACAGCTGTTCACGTGGGACCCCAGAGTGACCGAGGACAAACCAGCCTGGGGGAGATGCAGTGAGATGTGGAGTCAAAGGTGAGGGGTCGGGGCTGGAGCGATAGCACAGCATTTGCCTTGTACACGGCCGACCCCGGTTCGATTCCCAGCATCCCATAGGGTCCCCCGAGCACCGCCAGGAGTAATTCCTGAGTGCATGAGCCAAGAGTAATTCCTGTGCGTAGTCGGGTGTGATCCAAAAAGAAAAAAAGAAGAAGAAGGGTGTGACTTCTAGGAACCTGGGACCAGCCAAGGGTCCTGGGGAGTGTGGGACACACCCTCATGGGCCTTCAATTCCCTGAGTCTGGGCTGGATCCCGGAGACACACAGTTCCCTTCTGGACCTGTCATTAAATCTCCCAACCCATTTTTCCTGGTTTCCACCAAGTCCCGTCATCCCCATCACAACCTCCTTCGGCCCAAAAGGAATCAGGAAGAACCACCGAAGTCTCCATCCATCTATCCTGCCAGGTCCCAGCCCCCGGCGAGATAGAGAACCTGGAGCCGACGGCCCCCGAATCCCCCAGGACACATGCCACAGCATGGGAGGACAAAGAGTCAGCTTGAGATCAGTAAACAGCAAAATATATATATTTCTCTAATGATATTTAAATACTTCGAAAGATGGACTGATGGGGGGGGGGGCTGCCGTCTGGAGGGAGGAGAAATTAGGGCAGCTCTACAGAGCAGACGGGCGAAACCAGTGAACAGTGTTCTGGAAACTTCGAGGATCTTGGTGGTGGGTGGTTGCTGATGGGGGCAGGGGAAAGGCCTGAGGGGGGCTAGGGGGGCCCTGGACATTCTGATACAGCCCCCTGGGGGCCGGAGTCGTGCTGGCCAGAATCCCATGACTGTCCCCAGTCTGGGGAATGTGGCATTCCCAGGCACCCCTGCCCTTGGGGCTCACCAGGGTCCTCTCAGGAACCCCCACGCTCCCCCTCCTCCCTCTGTGCCTGACCTCTCCACCCACTGGGGGTCTTCCTGCTGGGCCCCCTGCTTAAACCGGCTGCCCGCACGCGGGACAGGGGATGGTCCCCAGAGCTACTGGTTTTCTTCCGCCTTGGGGTCCCGGCAGGAACACTCGTCGGTGTCACAGTCGGCGGCAAAGGGGGTGACCTGGGAAGCAAAGAGAAGGGGCGTGACCTCTTCTTCCTCCTCCTCTTCCTCCCTCTCCTCCTCCTCTTCCTTCTCCTCTCCTCCTCTTCCTCCCTCTCCTCCTCCTCTTCCTTCTCCTCTCCTCCTCTTCCTCCCTCTCCTCCTCCTCTTCCTTCTCCTCTCCTCCCCTTCCTCCCTCTCCTCTTCCTCTTCCTTCTCCTCTCCTCTTCCTCCCTCTCCTCCTCTTCCTCTTCTCTTCCTCCTCCTCTTCTTACTCTTCCTCCTCCTCCCTCTCCTCCTCTTCCTCTTCTCTTCCTCCTTCTCTTCCTCCTCCTCTTCCTCTTCCTCTCCTCTTCCTCCTCTTTTTCCTCCTCCTCTTGCTTCTCCTCCTCCTCTTCCTCCTCCTCCGCCCTCTCCTCCTCCTCCACTCCCTCCTCCTCTTCTTACTCTTCCTCCTCCTCCCTCTCCTCCTCTTCCTCTTCTCTTCCTCCTCCTCTTCCTCTCCTCTTCCTCCTCCTTTTCCTCCTCCTCTTCCTCCTTCTCCCTCCTCCTTCTTCCTTTCTTCTCTTCCACTCCCTCTTTCTCTTCCTCCCTCCCTCCTCTTCTTCCTCTGCCTTCCCCCTCTCCTCTTTCCCTCCTCTCTCCTTCCCCCGCTGTCTCTCCCCCATGCCAGAGGAGACTCTGCAGTGGCTGATTCTTCCCTCCTGCTGCTGATGCCACCAAGCCCCCCCCAACCCCCCCCCCCACATGGCCATAAGGAGCTTTGGAGACCAGGCATTTGGCAGACAGCGCCCTGCCCCTCTGGCACAGACCAGGCAGCAAGACAGAACAATCAGGGGCCAGAGCAATAGCACAGCGAGGAGGGTGTTGGCCTGGCATGCGACCGACCCAGGTTTGATTCCCGGCATCCCAGAGGGTCCCCCGAGCACCGCCAGGAGGGATTCCTGAGTGCAGAGCCAGGAGGAACCCCTGTGCATCGCCAAGTGTGATCCACTGTAGCACTGTCATCGTTGCTACACCGTTGTTCAGTGATTTACTCAAGCGGGCTCCAGTAATGTCTCCATTCGTCCCAGCCCTGAGATTTTATCAGCCTCTCCATACTCATCCTTCCCAACGCTGCCAAATTGGAGACTCCTTCAAGGTCAGGGGAACGAGACCCCTTATGGTGACTGTTTTTGGCAACAGAATAATTGAAAAACGGGCCTCTTGTACCCTTGCCTGCCGGAAGGGAAGGGCTGCGGGCTGGGGCGGGCATCCTGATGGGGCCCGGCCCTGGGTTCTCTGAAGGAGCTGACCACTGGCCGCTGGACAGCTGTCTTCGAGATGACCAGAGAGAGACCCCAACCAGGACCCTCCTGCTCCACAAGCTCCCGGGAATCTGGTTCGTCACCCGCCCCTCCCCCCTCCCCCATCGCCCCTCCCCCTGCCCTGCCCCCACCCGCGTCCCAACACCCCCTCACCATCTTGGAGGAGAGAGTCGAGGGGCAGCAGTCACCCCCGTCATAGTCACAGTACGCCCGGTTGTTGACTGTGTCACACCACCCGTCGGCCTGAAAGGGCTGGGAGTCGGAGGGCAGGAGGAGGGGTTGGCGGGTTACACTGATGTGGCTCATGCCATAGCGGCCTCACTCTGTTCCCCTGGTCACCCTCGTCCTCAGCCCCCTGGAGCTCGAGAGGGAAGACAGGGTGAGGAAGACCCCCAAAGAGCAGCACCCAGGGATGCAGCCGGCAATGGGGTCTGTGTGGGGACCAGGGAAAGATGATCTAGGTCCCATCATCGAGGGCGGGGGTGGGGTTGGGAGACTGAGTCACTGCGCCTGCACTTCTCTGTCCACAGTGCCCGCCAACACCACATTTCTTCGGTTTTCTTTCTTGTTTGTGGAGTTTTGGGTCCCACCCGGCGATGCTCGGGGCTGACTCCCGGCTCTGCACTCAGGAATCACTCCTGGCGGTGCTCGGGGGACCCTATGGAATACCGGGGATCGAACCCGGGTCGGCCGCGTGCAAGGCAAATGCCCTCCCCACTGTGTTATCACTCTGTCCCCCTAAAACATTTTAAGAGGAGATTCTTAGGGGCTGGAGCCATAGCACAGCGGGTCGGGCATTTGCCTTGCATGTGGTTGACCCGGGTTCGATCCCCGGTATTCCATAGGGTCCCCTGAACACTGTCAGGGGTAATTCCTGAGTCCCCCGACCCACCCTGAGACAAAATGTGAAGCCCAAGATACCCAGCTCAACATGGAGAGAGAGAGGCGGGGGGAGGGAGAGAGAGAGAAAGAGAGAGAGAGAGAGAGAGAGAGAGAGGGAGAGGGAGAAAGAGAGAAAGAAAGAGAGAAAGAAAGAGAGAGACAAGAGAAGGAGGGAGAGAGGGAGAGAGAGGGAGAGGTAGAGGGAGAAAGAGAGAGAGAGAGAGGGAGAGAGAGAGGTGGAAATATGTCCCCCCCCCCCACACACACACCAGAAATCCTGAACATTCCTGGGTTAGAACATGTTTGCTTTAGGGGTTGTTGTGGTTTCTCTGTTTTCTTCTCTTCTTTTTCTTTTCTCCCTCCTCTCCTCACCCCTGAACCCAGCCCCCCCCACCCACCCCACCCCCCACCACCACCACCATCCTTGGCAGCATCCAATGTTTGCAATATAAGAATAACAACAAAAACACAGGCTGCCCCAGTGTGAATCAGGAGACGACGTGCGGTGCCAAGAGCCAGGGCAGGGAAGGGGGAAAAATGGGAAAAAAAGAAAAAGAAAGAAAAACTGGGCTGCCAGTCGCTTCGGAGACAAAAATGCCACATGGATTGCCACGTGGCTGGCACCGTGGACAAGGACGTCTGCTGTGGACGAGGATCCCAGGAGCAGGCTGCCATGCACACACGTGTGCATGTGTGTGGGCGTGCGTGTTTGTGTGGATGTGTGTGTGCATGTGCATGTGTGCGCATGTGTGTGTGGACGTGTGTGCGTATTTGTGTGGGCATGTGTGTGCATGTGTGTGGGCGCATGTGTGTGTGGACGTGTGTGCATGTGTGTGCATGTGTTCATGTGTGTAGGTGTGTGTGCACGTGTGTGTGCGTGTGCATGTGGGTGCATGTGTGTGTGCACATGTGTGTGTGCATGTGTGGGTGTGGGTGTGGGCGTGTTTGCATGTTCATGTGGGCGTTTGTGCGTGTTTGTGTGGGCATGTATGTGTGTGTGCACATGTGTGTGGGTGCATGTGTGTGTGGACGTGTGCGTGTGTTTGTGTGTGCATGTGTGTAGGAGTGTGTGCATGTGTGTGTGCATGTGTGTGCGTGTGCATGTGGGTGCTTGTGTGTGTGCACATGTGCGTGCGTGCGTGTGCATGTGTGTGCATGTGTGGGCGTGTTCGCATGTTCGTGTGGGTGTGTGTGCATGTTTGTGTGGGCATGTATGTGCGTGTGTGCATGTGTGTGCATGTGTGTGGGGGGGGTGTTTGCAAGTTCGTGTGCACGCACGCGTGTGTGTGTGTGTGTGTATGTTGGCGCATGCATGTGCACGTTACAAGACCCTCCCCCCGGCTTTGCCCACTGCCGCCACCTCACGGGTCTGCAATGTGGCTGGCGGGGCTGGCCTCTCTCACCGTGAGTCAGATCTCAAGCCAAGTCCCTGCAAAGTATTCTAGAAGCTTCCCAGGCGCAGAGGGAAACAAGCTCGCCAGAAGCCGCCAGGGCCTTTGACTCACTTGAGTGTTCCCCGTGCCAAGCCCTCATGCCTGCGCTAGAGGAGGAAGGAAAACGATGCGGGTGCTGGAGTTGTAGAGGAGAGGCCGCGAGGGCGGGGAAGTGCTCCTGGGATGGCAGGGCCCGGGGGCCAGGGAGCAGAGGATGGTAAGGAAGGGGTTGGTGTTGCTTCTCCCCAAATCGGGCATTGAGGCCGACTTTTTAGGGCTCCTCAACCAGGTTCTTTTGTTTGGGGTTCCTCCTGGCTCTGCACTCAGGAATCACTCCTGGCGGTGCTTGGGGGACCCTATGGGATGCCGGGGATCGAACCCGGGTCGGCCGCATGCCAGGCAAATGCCCTTCCCGCTGTGCTATTGTTCCAGCCCGAACATCTTGTGTGCTATTTCTCCAAGCTAAAAGCCTCCTTCCTTCCTTCCTTCCTTCCTTCCTTCCTTCCTTCCTCCTTCCTTCCATCCTTTCTTCTCCTTCCTTCCTTCCATCCTTTCTTCTCCTTCCTTCCTTCCTTCCTTCCATCCTTTCTTCTCCTTCCTTCCTTCCTTCCTTCCTTCCTTCCATCCATTCATCCTTCCTTCCTTCCCTCCTTCCTTCCATCCTTCCATCCGTCCATTCATCCATCCATCCATCCTTCCTTCCTTCCGTCGATCCATCCATCCATCCTCCCTTCCTTCCATCCATCCTTCCATCTTTCTTTCCATCCATCCATCCATCCATCTATCCATCCATCTACCCTTCCTTCCTTCCTTCCATCCATCCTTCCATCTTTCCATCCATCCATCCACCCTTCCTTCCTTCCTCCTTCCTTCCTTCCTTCCTTCCTTCCTTCCTTCCTTCTCCTTCCTTCCTTCCTTCCTTCTCCTTCCTTCCTTCCTTCCTTCTCCTTCCTTCCTTCCTTCCTTCTCTCTCCTTCCTTCCTTCCTTCCTTCCTTCCCCTTCCTTCCTTCCTTCCTTCCTTCCTTCCTTCCTTCCTCCTTCCTTCCATCCTTTCTTCTCCTTCCTTCCTTCCTTCCTTCCTTCTTCCTTCCATCCTTTCTTCTCCTTCCTTCCTTCCTTCCTTCCTTCCATCCTTTCTTCTCCTTCCTTCCTTCCTTCCTTCCATCCATTCATCCTTCCTTCCTTCCCTCCTTCCTTCCATCCATCCATCCTCCCTTCCTTCCATCCATCCTTCCATCTTTCTTTCCATCCATCCATCCATCCATCTATCCATCCATCTACCCTTCCTTCCTTCCTTCCATCCATCCTCCCATCTTTCCATCCATCCACCCTTCCTTCCTTCCTTCCTCCTTCCTTCCTTCCTTCCCCTTCCTTCCTTCCTTCTCTCTCCTTCCTTCCTTCCTTCCTTCCTTCCTTTTCCTTCCTTCCTTCTCCTTCCTTCCTTCCTTCCTTCCTTCCTTCCTTCTCCTTCCTTCCTTCCTTCCTTCCTTCTCCTTCCTTCCTTCCTTCCTTCTCTCTCCTTCCTTCCTTCCCCTTCCTTCCTTCCTTCCTTCCTTCCTTCCTTCCTTCCTCCTTCCTTCCATCCTTTCTTCTCCTTCCTTCCTTCTTTCCATCCTTTCTTCTCCTTCCTTCCTTCCATCCTTCCATCCATCCATTCATCCATCCATCCTTCCTTCCTTCCGTCGATCCATCCATCCATCCATCCTCCCTTCTTTCCATCCATCCTTCCATCTTTCCATCCATCCATCCATCCACCCTTCCTTCCTTCCTTCCTTCCTCCTTCCTTCCTTCCTTCCTTCCTTCCTTCTTTCCTTCCTTCCTTCCTTCCTTCCTTCCTTCCTTCTTCCCTCTTTGTATTTGGGTCTCACCTGGCGATGCTCAGGGGCTCCTCCTGGCTCTGCACTCAGGAATCACTCCTGGCAGTGCTCGGGGGACCCTATGGGATGCTGGGGATCGAACCCAGGTCAGCCGCATGCCAGGCCAACGCCCTCCCCGCTGTGCTATCGCTCCAGCCCCCGCACATCTAAGGATTTTATGGATAGATAAAATGCAATCTGTACTCACCAGCAACTAGGACAGTATATTGATATATTTTAAGACCCAATAGCTTTGGGGTCAGCCCTCACCAAATGAGTCAGGCGCAGTCAGACAACCATGCTTATTTCTGACTTGTAACTTTCTTTGTCTGTTTGTTTTGCTAACTCCTTTAAAATAGACTTTAGGGGCTGGAGCCATAGCACAGCGGGTACGGCATTTGCCTTGCACACAGCCAGCCCGGGTTCAATCCCTGGCATCCCATAGGGTCCCCTGAGTACCGCCAGGAGTGATTCCTGAGTGCAGAACCAGGAGTGACCTCTGTGCATCACCGGGTGTGACCCAAAAATCCAAATAAACTAATTAATTAATTAAATAGACTTTAGCCATAGTCTAGCAGGGAGGGGACTTGCCTAGCATGCGGCCGGCCCAGGTTCGATCCCTGGCATCCCATAGGGTGCCCTGAGCACTGCCAGGAGTGATTCCTGAGTGCAGAGCCAGGAGTCAGCCCTGAGCATCGCCGGGTGGGACCCCCAAAAAAGCAAAAAATTTTTTAAAAAAACGAGAGTATTCCTATAAGCTCTAAGTTGGGGTATTCATCTGAAGAGCTGGAACTGGAAATGTGGTTGGCGGGGTTGGGTAGAGAGGGATTCGGGGGGGAACTGCTTTTTTGCTTAGAAAGATCCACACTCCTGGTTGCCAAACACAGTTCTCACCTCGCAGGATGGGATGCAATGGACCTGTAACGGGTCTGGGAACCACCGACGCAGCCCTGTGCACACGATACTCTGAAAGTAGAAAGGTAAAGGTAAGGTAAAGGCCCTCCCGTTGATCGTCGATTTGCTCGAGCGGGCCCAGTAACGTCTCCATTGGAGACTTTGTTGTTACTGTGTCTGGCATATCGAATACTCTCGGTAGCTTGCCGGGCTCTCCGAGAGGGGCGGAGAAATCGAACTCGGCTCGGCCATGTTGGCCGCTTGTAAGGCGAACACCCTACCGCTGTGCTATCGCTCCAGCCCTTCTGAAAGTAGAAAAGGCCAAAAATCACCAGCAGCAGCTCACAGAAACACCCGTCCCCAGCCCAGTTCCCTCCTGGGGCAGTGAAGCCCAGTGGGCAGCGCCCATCGCCAGCTTTCTCCACAGAACTGCCCACCCCACACATCGGAAATGTTCTGGGGAGGGAGCTTCCATCTTCTCTCATGCCCCCTGCCCCTATAGATTTGCACTTACAGCAATTGCAGATATCCAGGGTGGAGAGGCCTAACTCTAAAACATATAGCACTGTATTACTAGCCTTTGGTTGTTCATCAATTTTCTCGAGTGAGACTTATTGTGACTGTGTTTGGCATTTTGAATACACCACGGGGAGCTTGCCAGGCTCTGCCATGCAGGCGGGATACTCTCGGGAGCTTGCCGGGCTCTCCGAGAGGGGCGGAGGAATCGAACCCAGGTCAGCCACGTGCAAGGCCAACGCCCTACCCGCTGTGCTATCGCTCCAGCCCTAAAAAAAAAAATTATAATAAAATTAAAAAGAAATTGTCGCGATGCCTCTCCAGGGCGATCAGGCGTAATACTGGCTCCCGGTGACTTGAGATGTGTGCTGACGCACTAAGACAGGACTTGGGTCATGCGGGAACCATAGTGGGTTTTCTCCTGGAGCTGGAGAAACAGCCGGGTTGGAAGTGGGTCTCCATGGTTCTGCCACACAGCGGCGACTGGACCGGCCCCTCCAAGGAAGAGGGCCCCAGGTGCAGGCTGGGATTTCTGACTGGTGCCAAGTAGCTCTTCCTCGTGGCCAGAAGTGACAAGTGGGACTCAGGGAACCAGAAGTGTGTGGGGGGTTGGAGCGATAGCACAGCGGGGAGGGCATTTGCCTTGCACGTAGCCGACCTGGGTTCAATTCCCAGCATCCCATAGGGTCCCCTGAGCCTCGCCAGGAGTAATTCCTAAGTGCAGAGACAGGAGTAACTGCTGTGCAATGCTGGGTGTGACCCAAAAAGCAAAAAAAAAAAAAGTGTGTGTAGGGAGCACCAAATAAAGGGTGTTGGGAGGACTCTCCCAGGATGGGAGAAGCATGCTGAAAGTAGACTATAAACATGATTGCCACTCATTCAATGCCTCTCTTGCAAACCACAGAACCCAATAGGAGAGAGAGAGAGAACAAAAGGGAATGCCTTGCCACAAAGGCAGGGGGAGATGAGGGGGAAGGGGGGGATGGGGCGTGGGAGGGATACTGGGACCCGTGGTGGTGGAAAATGGGCACTGGTGGAGGGATGGGTACTTGATCATTGTATAACTGAAACCCAAGCACAAAAATGTGTAAGTCTATAAGTGTACCTCGTGGTGTTTCACACACACAAAAAAAAGTGTGTGCGTTGTTAGAAAAGATGAAGTCATGAAATTTATGTACAAGTGGTACAACATGGAAAGTATCATGCTAAACGAAATGAGTCAGAAAGAGAGGGATAGACATAGAAAGATTGCATTCATCTGGGGGATATAAAGTAACAAAGTATGAGATTAATACCCAAGAATAGCTGAGATCAGCACCAGGAGGATTACTCCATAACTTAGAGGCCAGCCGGGTATTCTAGGGGAAAGGGCAGCTCAGACAGAGAAGGGAGCACCAAATAAAGGGTGTTTGGAGGATCCTCCCAGGAGGGAAGATGCATGTTGAAAGTAGACTATGGACTGAACATGTTTGCCACTCAAAGCCTCTTTTGCAGACCACAACACCCAAAAGGAGAGAGAGAGCACAAGGGATCGCCCTGCCACAGAGGCAGGGGGGGATGGGAGGGATGGGGGTGGGAGGGATATTATCCATGGTGGTGGAAAATGGGCACTGGTGGAGGGATGGGTATTTGATCATTGTATAATCTAAACCCAAGCACAAAAATTGTAAATCTACAACTGTACCTCATGGTGTTTAAAAAAAAAATTTCGGAATTTCAAAATCACGTGGCCCTACTGCAGCCACGCGACATCATATGTTATTCATAACCAGCAATAGAACACAAATTGTCTACTGCTGCCTTTTCAGCAGATCTGAGTGTTGGGGTAAAATCTCAAATAATAATGGTGGGTCTGGTGTCGAAATATTGAATGTGACCAAAGTAGAGAGAGAGTAATGTGGAAATCATCTGCCCCACAGGTAGGGGGAGGGTGTGGGATGGGGGTATGCTGGGGTTATTGGGGGTGGAGAATGGGCACTGGTGAAGGTACGGGTGTTTCATTGTATGACCGAGACTTAGACCCGAAAGCTTTGTAACTGCTCTCACGGTGATTCAATAAATAAAATTATATAAAAAAAAAGTGTGTGTGTGTGTGTGTGTGTGTGTGTGTGTGTGTGTGTGCATGCGGGCGGGCGCGTTGAGGTAGGGATGGGTGTGTCACGTGATACTCATGTTGAGAACTCAAGGCCATATTTCAGGTGGGAACATGAGGGACCATTTTGCCCCGAAGGCCAGGTCTAGATGCCTAGTTAAGCTTTGCGTCACCATTTCTCCCTTCAAATAAGGCCCGACCCCTGTGGGGTGGTTTGCTTCTTCCATGCCTCTCGAGTCCAACCCTCTGAAACGCAGGGGGCAGGGGTGGTGGCTGGTGAGAACCCCTGTCTCGTGGACTCATGAGCGATGTCCCTCTTCTCACCTGGATGAGGATGGGCTCCATCCAGTGCTCCAGGGTGTCAACTGTGACATTGCCGGGGAGGACGACGGGGTCGTTGCGGGGGGAGATGCAGGTCGGAAGGCACTCTGTCCCTGAGGAGACAGAAACGGATGGTGGAGGTGTGACTTCCGGGGCCAACCGCTCTGCTTGCCTCGGTAAGGTGCCTGGGTCGGGCCACTTCGCCTCGGTAGGGTGCCCGGGTCGGGCCACCCAGCCACTGTGCTCCCAGGCATGACCTCTCCTCAGGAGACTCTGCACCGATGGGGAAGAGGTTTCCGTGAGGACACCGCAAAACTTGGCATTAACCTGCTCAAGTCGCTCTGTGCTGGATCGTTTCTATCAGTGAACCTGGAAGATGCTGATGGGCCTAGGGAAGCCCTTGTCACTCCCCTAACCCCCCTGGTGACTGTCCCTGAAAAAGATCATCACCACCGAGACGTGTCCAGGAGATCCCGGTGAGGCCCACCCATAGCCAAAGTCGCTCTATGGAGACCCTTGTCTTGATTTGTGAGAGAAGATGGAGTCAGGCCCGGGCAGGGGCAGGGCTTGGTGGCAGAGCGCAGGCATCTGAGAGGGAAGCCCTGTGTTCCCTCAGCCCTTCCTGGCCACAGTCTCCTGGATTTCTGGGGAACCCTGGCCTCATCCCTTGCCTTCTGTCTATACTGAAGCATCCCTATCCGGGTCACATAAATCTTTCTTTTTTTTAAGAGAAGCAAGATAGTTTTATTTATTTTATTTACGGCCGTGTAATCCCATCAACAGCCAAGACCCAGAGACTATAAAACCCAGCTCCCGGAAGCACGCAGCCGCATTTGCAGCCGTGCGACATCTTATTATCTAGTTCTTACTCTGGAGAACCTGGCAGGCTACCAAAAGTATCCTGCCCACACGGCAGAGTCTGGCAAACTCCCCGTGGTGTATTCAATATGCCAAAAACCAGTAGCGATGATGGGTCTCATTCTCCTGACCCTGAAAGAGCCTGGAATGTGGAACTTTCTAAGATCTCAGGGCTAGGACGAAGGAGACGTTACTGGTGCCTGCTCGAGGAAACTAATGAATAACAGGATGACAGTGACACAGTGATTTTATTTAGTTGGAAGTGGTAGCCATGGCCATGCTTAAGACCACTCTCTCTACATGCTCAAACGAGCCTCATGCATGAAGGAACCGGCAGAGGAACCCAGGTGTGCGGAACCCGGGGCTGAGATCTCCAAGCTGCTCAGATCGGGACTGGGCCTCCTCACCCAGATCCCCCATTTTCCAGTAGCTAGATAATTACACCCACCAATTGCCGTGTAATCCCACTAATAGTCAAGATCCAGAGACTATAAAACCAAGCTCCTGGAAGATCTCTTGTTGTCTAATTTTCGCTCTCAGAGAACCCGGCAGGCTACCGAAAGTATCCTGCCTGCATATATGCCAGACTGGGAACACCTCTAAATGTGATTAAAGGCTGCCCCAGAAGCCTCCATACCTCTCGGAGAGCCTGGCAAGCTTCCCGTGGCATACTTGATATGCCAAACACAGTGACAATGATGGTCCTCATTCCCCTGACCCTGAAAGAGCCCCCAATATGCCATCTGGCTACACTAGCATGTGACAGGGATGAAAGGAGATGTTACTGGTGCCCACTCGAGCAAATCATGAACAACGGGAGGACAGTGACAGTGACTTGGAAGCGGGAGAGGAGGGATGGGGAGAGAGAGAGAGAAAGACAGAGAGAGGGAAAGAGGGGAGAGAGAGAGAGAGGAGAGAGGGAGGCAGAGAGAGAGGGAGGGAGGGAGGGAGGAAGGAGAGACAGGGAGAGAGGGAGAAAGATAGGAGAGAGGGAGAGAGAGGGAGAGAGGGAGGCAGAGAGAGGGAAGGAGGGAGAGAGATGGAGAGAGGAAGAGATAGAAGGAGGGAGACAAGGTGGAGAGAGAAAAAGAAAACACAGCTTCTCCAGATGGAAAAAGAAAAGCTTGACAGGGACCTTTTGAGGTCACGTGTCAGAGAAAAACCCAATGGGATGAAAGGGGAATGAAAAGGAGGTTTGGGGGTCTGAGCCGGTGGGCTGGGAACTAAAACCACCTTTCTCAGTACAACTCAACACCACGGTGTGGAACAATCAAATCTCTTCCTAGAAGACCGGCTGGTGAATACATAGACAATGGAAAGGTCTAGAAAGGCACTGGCCATTGGTCACTGGGACCTAAGGTGCGCCACCCGCTTCCCTGCAAAAAAAAAAAAAAAGCACTGTAGCACTGCCCTCCCATTGTTCATCGATTTGCTCGAGCGGGCCCAGTAACGTCTCCATGGTGAGACTTGTTGTTACTGTGTTTGGCATATCGAATACCCCATGGGAAGCTTGCCAGGCTCTGCCGTGCGGGCGGGATACTCTCGGTAGCTTGCCAGGCTCTCTGAGAGGGATGGAGGAATCGAACCTGGGTCGGCCGCGTACAAGGCCAACGCCCTCCCCACTGTGCTAAAAATAAATAAGTAAGTCTCATGATGGGACAATTCCACATCCCACTGCACACTTACCAATCCCATGCCCCTGTGCACATTCGTATTGAACCTCATTCAGCAGCTGGCGGGGAGGCGGGCACCGCCCCTGTAGGTTCCCACAGAGCTCGAACTCCGCTGACCAGTTGCCCTCCTTGGTGCAGAGGACAGGAGGCTGGAAGATCAAGTGTTCTCCTAAGGTCAAGCTCACGCACGGTACAGACTGACATCATCATCACGTCCCCACTTACTCCCCCATTCCAAGGCTCTTCTTATTTTTTTGAATCACACCCGGCGATGCACAGGGCTGACTCCTGGCTCGTGCACTCAGGAATCACTCCTGGCGGTGCTCGGGGGACCCTATGGGATGCTGGGAATCGAACTCGGATGGGCCACGTTCAAGGCAAACGCCCTACCCACGGTGCTATCGCTCCAACCCCCCACCCCAGCCTCTTCTGAATGCCCCAACTGTACCCCACCAGTGGCCCTGCTTGGACCCCCAACCCAAGGAAGGCCCCCTCCCTGCCTTTGGGGGCTTCACCCCTGCATGGGTAGGGCACATCCATGCATGGGTCTCTCCCGAGCAGAGCACGTCCAGATGCAAAACAGTGGCCCAAGGCGATGGTCTTACCCTTGCACCATCCTCTGGGCATGTGACGGTGCATTGGCTTCCCAGCTTGAAGCCATCGGTGCATGTGTACATGCCCTGCAGGACAGGCGACGGGGGCGCGCAGACCACGGGGACGCAGCTGGCCTTCTCCCAGGAGCCACTGTCCAGGCACCGGACCTTCAGGATGGTGCTGATGACCCCGGGCAGGAGAACAGTCCATCAGGCTTTGATGTACATCAGGTCCATGGGGCCTTGACTTACCATCAATGAGGATTTGTGCCCAGGAGTGAGCACTGGTGGGTTTCTGGGATGGGGCCCATTATGCCCATTTTCCCTGGTTCCCGAGAGTTGGAGGGCAAGAGAGTGACGCCAGGAGCATCACTGGGGACACAGTTCCAGCTCCGGTTTGGAAAAAAATCACAACCAAGAGCCATTCTATGACGCACTTCCGGCTGCCCTCCGCCCCCTGGATTTCTGCACAGCATCTCATTGGTCACTTGCTCAAGGCCAAGACAGCAGCCGCTCTCTCATTGGCTGGCTGATGATGCCTGTCAAGCCCTACTTCCGACTCTGAGCTGGAAGGGCGTGTCATTGTCTGGTCTGGTCCCTTTTCCCCATCCTCTCAAAGAGGCTCATTCAGGCCAGAGCTCAGAGCATCCTGGATTTCTCCGACTTCTGGGAAATTTGGTTTCCAGGGAGATCAGTCAAAAGGGGCTCTAAGTAGCCTGTGAGGGGCTTCAGGCATCCCATAATGCCTCTACTTTGCTTTGGGTGATGTTGATATCTAAGTGTTTTATAAGTGGTTAGTTCATTTTAAAAAAATGGGGATGGTTGTTGGAATTCTGTATGATGAGACACAATCATGAATGGCTTGTAATGCTCTAAAAAATAATAAAAATATTTTGGGGGCTGGAGCAATAGCACAGCGGGTTGGGCGTTTGCCTTTCACGTGGCCGACCCGGGTTCGGTTCCTAGCATCCCATATGGTCCCCCTCCAGGAGTAACTCCTGAGTGCAGAGCCAGGAGTAACCCCTGTGCATCGCCAGGTGTGACCCAAAACGCAAATAATAATAAAAATAATAATAAAAATTTAAAAAATGGGTTTATGCTCTTTCACGTAACTGCATGAACCAAGAGGCACTTGGAAGTTTCTCAGTGCCTGGGCTGGTCTGGCAAAGGTGACATTGGATGCAAGGCCAGCGTTTCCAATGTAGCGTTGATGCCTCCTGGCTTTGCACTCAGGAATTACCCCTGGCGGTGCTCAGGGGACCCTATGGGATGCTGGGAATCAAACCCAGGTCGGCTGTGTGCAAGGCCCTCCCCGCTGTGCTATCGCTCCAGCCCCTCTTAATTCTCTTAACACTTGTGATTCCTCTGTTCTCTCTACTTCCATGAATGATGCAGTTTTACCCTGATGCTCAAATCTGAAACATAAGAAATGCCTCCCTGGGTTCTTTCCCTCTCTGGCCTGTTTCCCCAAGTTCCTACTGGGGCCTATTTAATCCATCCATGAGTGTTTGACTCCTTCCTTGTTCTAGAACCTGCCCTGGACCTCTTCTCTCTTTCCCCTATCAAAAAACACAAGAACCCATCTTTCACTTAATACCAGGGCCCCTGGGCACCCCATTTTTTCTCCAGATCCCTTCCCACCTATGGGCAACCCCCAGCCAATGAGAACTCTTATAAAAAAAACCAAGGTGCTCATTGGATGGCGGCACTTCCGGCCTCTTGAGCACTGGCCTCCTGAGGCCTGAACCAAAGGAAAAACGGTCCCAACTTCTCCCATGGACCTATAATGTCCTGCCTGACCCTCTCCATGAGCTCCTGCCATAGCACCCGGGTCCTGCTTTTTGGGTCCCACCCGGCGATGCTCAAGGGTTCCTCCTGGCTCTGCACTCAGGAATTACTCCTGGCAGTGCTCGGGGGACCATATGGGATGCTGGGAATCGAACCCAGGTCGGCCACGTGCAAGGCAAATGCCCTCCCCGCTGTGCTATCGCTCCAGCCCCCCTGCTCACCTTCTTTCATATTGTCTGCACAGGACTTAGCATCCTGGGCACCACCAAGCTCTTCTGGCCAGTGGGTGCTGTTCCCTCTCTTTTCTTGCTGCCCTTCTCCTGATCCACAGCTTCCTTCTCAGCCTCTCCAAATATCTCCCGGGCCACTCTTGTGTCGCCCCTCAAATGTGCGTGTTTCATAAACGGACACACGGGACCTCTTTCACAGAATGCACAATGTCGATATTGTCACTGTTCTGTGTGACCAAAGAGTCTCTCTTATGTGTTGCTTGCTCCCATGCCCCAACTGGAATTTAAGCTGGGTGATATGGTCTTAACCTATGGTCTTTTTTTTTTTTTAATTATATTGGGCTGGAGCGATAGCACAGCAGGTAGGGCGTTTGCCTTGCACGCGGCCAACATGTCCGACCCGAGTTCGATTCCTCCGCCCCTCTCGGAGAGCCCGGCAAGCTACCGAGAGTATTCGATATGCCAGACACAGTAACAACAAAGTCTCCAATGGAGACGTTACTGGGCCCGCTCGAGCAAATCGATGATCAACGGGAGGGCCTTTTATTATTGGGTCACACCAGGCGATGCACAGGGGTGACTCCTGGCTGCTCTGCACTCAGAAATCACTCCTGGCGGTGCTATGGGATGCTGGGATTTGAACCCGGGTTGGCCATGTGCAAGGCAAATGCCCTACCCTCTATGCTATCGCTCCAGCCCCAACCTGTGGTCTTAATGACTGTTATTTGCACAAAAGCCTGGCACCTACGAGCACCAGGGAACTTGGGTTCCATGAAGGCTGTCTCTTTTATGGTTGGGGTGAGGAAGGTCTCAGAGAAAATTAAGGAATTGGGGGGGCGGGGGAGAGAGAGAAGCAAAGACAGCACCTTGCAGGCTCATAAAGCAGCCAGAAGAAGCTAGACCTAGGTTTTGGTTACAGAATTCCTGGAATTAAGCACAGATGCCTGGAATTGGGTCATGATTTCCCCGAAGTGAGATACCCATGGTGAGGTCAGCTAAGGGTTACCAATCAGATGTAGGTAGGAAAGCTGCCCTGATATAACCCTTATGTAACTTTTTTTTTTTTGCTTTTTGGGTCACACTCGGCGATGCACAGGCATTACTCCTGGCTCACGCACTCAGGAATTACTCCTGGCAGTGCTCGGGGGACCCTATGGGATGCTGGGAATCAAACCTGGGTGGGCTGGTACAAGGCAAACGCCTTACCCACTGTGCTATCGCCCCGGCCCTTTATGTAACTTTTATGCAACCCTTATGCAACTCCAACTAAACCAGCCAGCTAAGTATAAGTAATGGAAAAACCCTCAGATTCCCGCCAAAAGGGTGGTCCACAGGAAGTCCCTGTTATATAATGCTATGGCATAAAAGCCCCTCATTTCTGATACTTGGGGCCGCTCATTCCAAGAAGGCTGCCACTGTGTTGGTGAGTCGAATGAGGGTCCCAGCTGAGCTAGCCAATAAAGACCCTTTGCTTATTGCATCACAACTTGTCTTCCTGTGATTCCTCTGGGGAGATCTCAGCCCGGTTTAACACTGCCATGATTGAGAATGTTCCAGAACATAGCTGGGTTCCAGCGGCTGGCGGGATGTGAGGGAGCTTCTGGCACTTGGAAAGGGAGTTTGGGGGTCGAGACACAACCCAGCCAGGCTGGGGGAGTACAAGTACCCACCCAGGAAGTCATGTCCTCAGAGTCCTGTGACTGAGCTGATCATGGGGTGTCTGTGCAGGTCACAGACATACCAACTCACAAATGACCCAGGAACCCCGGCCGTCGCCTCAGGGCCACCAGCTGGAGTCTCCAAATAAGGAGTGAGGCCACTCACCTTCTGGCAGCACCAGAGGTGGTCCCTGGCACGTAGTATCCGGGCTGGCACTCATACCCGCACACGGAGCCCACGTCCTGCGGGCAGTGGGGCAGGAGCGGGCGGGCGTGAGGGAGGGCAGGGGGTGCGTCACACGTCACCTTGCAGTAGGCTTCGGGGAGCGACCAGAGGCCATCCTCAAGGCACGTCAGCCACGGGTCCGGGCCTGGTAAGGGACAGAAAAGTGTGAGGTGGGTCTGGAGTGACAGCACAGTGGGGAGGGCGTTAGCCTGGCACATGGCCAGCCCGGGTTCGATCCCCTGCATCCCATAGGGTCCCCCGGGCACCACCTGGAGTGAATCCTGAGTGCATGAGCCAGGAGGAACCTCTGAGCATGTAAAAACCAGGAGCCCCCACCTCCCACACATGGTTATGGTCATGGTCCTCCTGTTGTTCATCGATTTGCTCAAGCGGGTCCAGTAACATTGTGAGACTTGTTACTGCGTTTGGCATAATGAATACATCATGGGGAGCTTGCCAGGCTTTGCTGAGCGGGCGAGATACTCTCAGTAGCTTGCCAGGCTCTCCAAGAGGGGCAGAGGAATCAAACCTGGCTCGGCCGGGCCAGCTGTGCGCAAGGCAAACGCCCTACACACACCAAAATAAAAATGTGAGGTGCTCAGACAGGCTGGAAATAAGGTCAAAGGGGAGAGGCGCTGTCTCAGACCCCCCACCCCCGCTCTTATCCAGGAGTTGTCCAGGGTTCGGGTCATCCCCCGACGACCCCGCTACCCAAACCTTTCAATGTTGTGGAAGGCTCAGAAATGTGCATTTGGAACCAGTCTTGGGTTTTGGGGGGTTATTCCTAGTTTTTACATCCAAGTCTTGAGAAGAGGCAGAAGGCAACAAGGGTGGTGGGTGGGTGGAGTTGGGGGTCTTGTTAAAGCTGGTGCCACCCTCCTCTTCATCTCTTACTAACAGAAAGGCCAGACAGGGACACGACATGTCACTGGAAGATGCAGCTTCTTGCCTATGGGCTGGGGGCATAGAACGCCTTGGACAAGTCTAAGCTTTTAATTAAAAACTAGGGACCAGGGGCCGGAGTAATAGCACAGTGGGGAGGGGGTTTGCTTTGCATGTGGTAGACCTGAATTCAATCCCTGATATCCTATAGGGTCCCCAAATGATTTCTGAGTATCACCAGCTGTGACCCCCAAAATCCAAAAAGAATAGCATGGCACTGTAGCACTGTCCTCCCGTTGTTCATCGATTTGCTCGAGCGGGCACCAGTAACGTCTCCATGGTGAGACTTGTTGTGACTATTTTTGGCATCTCCAAGATGCCACGGGGAGCTTGCCAGGCTCTGCCGTGCGGGCGGGATACTCTCGGTAGCTTACAGGGCTCTCTGAGAGGGATGGAGGAATCGAACCCGGGTTGGCCAGGTCGGCCGCATGCAAGGCAAACACCCTACCTGCTGGGCTATTGCTCTAGTCCCCATCTGCCTGACAACCTTTAAGTCTTTCCTCCAGACTTATAGTGCAAGATTTGTGAGCGTTTCGGTCTGTTACCTGTTGATGGTTCTAACCAGCACTGGAGGCCACTCTGCGCCACCGCCCCCTGTCCCCTTTGACCCCGCCCTCCACCACCCGCATCCTCAGCCTGCCACCAGATCCTACCTTGGAGCTTGGCTGGGGCCACACAGGCCACGAGACAGCGTTTCTGGTAGCCCGTGCCATCGGCACAGGAGAAGGTGGCATGGGCGACCAGGGACGGGTCCGGGAGGCCACAGTCCAGGGCCTTGCAGCGTACGGCTCGGTCCCAGTGGCCGGCGGAGCATGTCAGCACGACATCTCTCTGCACACAGAAACCAGTCGAGCTCACTCCGGGAAAGATCGCCCACTTCTTCTTCTTCTTCTTTTTTTTTTTTGCTTTTTTTGGGGGGTCACCCAGCAATGCATGTGGGTGACTCCTGGCTCTGCACTCAGGAATCACTCCTGGCAGTGCTCGGGGGACCCTACGGGATGCCGGGGATCAAACCCGGGTTGGCCGCGTGCCAGGCTAATGCCCTCCCTGCTAGACTATCGGTCTGGACTGTAAATACTGCACATTTTTACCAAGCCAAGCTCCTTGTAGCGCCTCCAAACTTTCCAGTTTTCCTGTTGAATGACTCGAGAACACCTTCCTGGCCCCAACCCCACCAGGGAAAGAGCTTGAGGGTCCTTCCCGCCCCAGGACCTTGGTCTCCAGAACCCGGATTTCCAACTCACCTGGATGGGCTTGAGGAAGCCTTTGGCGCCCCACAGGGCGAAGCCCTTCTGACAGGTGATGGCGCATGTCATGTGACCCGGGCCCCCTGAGGTACAGTTCACGGCCTCAGCGTGATCCAGTAACAGCGGGACACAGCTAGGGGTGGACATGGAAAGGGTTACGTTTGATGGATGAGGAACCAAAGACCAACACCAAATGCCACGACTTCACCACTCACTTGAGGACTTTGTGTGGGCTGAGTTCGGGCAAACAGGTTTCCACAGAACCACCACTAAAATCCTTGTCTCGGACAGACATAAAATGATTGGACTCGGGGGCTGGAGCGATAGCACAGCAGGGAGGGCATTTGCCTTGCACACAGCCAGCCCGGGTTCGATTCCCAGAAATTCCATAAGGTCCCCTGAACACCGCCAGGGGTAATTTCTGAGTGCAAAGCCAGCAATCACCCCTGTGCATCGCCGGGTGTGACCCAAAAAGAAAAAAAAATGATTGGACTCATTTGTGGGATATGAAAAAAAATTATAGTAAGAGACCAATACCCAAGGATAGTAGAAACATGGTCCATGGTTGGAAGCCGGCCTCAAGTGCTGGGGGAGAGGGCAGCTAGGATAGAGAAGAGACCACCATGACAAAGATGGTTGGAAATGATCACTCTGGGTAAGAACTGCGTGCTGAAAGGAGGTATCACTGTATCACTGTAATCCCATTGATTATCGATTGACTCGAGCGGGTGCCAGGAACGTGTCCATTCGTCCCAGCCCTGAGATTTTAGCAGCCTCTCCATACTCGTCTTTCCCAATGCTGCCGTATTGGAAGCTCTTTCAGGATCAAGGGAATGAGACCCATTATGGTTACTGTGTTTGGCATATTGAATACGCCACGGGGAGCTTGCCAGGGTCTGCCATGTGGGCGGGATACTCTCCGTAGCTTGCTGGGCTCTCCAAGAGGTATATATTTATATATATTTATTTGGAGCAATACCACAGCGGTAGGGCATTTGCCTTGCACACAGCCAGCCCGGCAGAGCCGGGTTTGATTCCTCCGCCCCTCTAGGAGAGCCTGGCAAGCAATCGAATTCCATGACGCATATATTCAATATGCCAAACACAGTAACAACAAGTCTCAAAATGGGACGTGACTGGACCCGCTCGAGCACATCGATGAACCACGAGAGGACAGTGTTTGTTTTGTTTTATAAATATATATATATATATATATTTTAAAATAGTAAGGCCCTCCCGTTGATCGTCGATTTGCTCGAGCGGGCCCAGTAACGTCTCCATTGGAGACTTTGTTGTTACTGTGTCTGGCATATCAGATACTCTCGGTAGCTTGCCGGGCTCTCCGAGAGGGGCGGAGGAATCGAACTCGGGTCGGCCATGTTAAAATATTATATATATTTCCCTCTATAATTTGTAGCCTACTGTCTGAACCCCATCAAATATGGTGTGGCAATTATGGAAAAATGGGTAGGGGGTGTCTTATGATGGGTCGTACAGCCATGAAAGCGACCGCGGTCTAGGAATATGACAAAATGATAAGCTCTCAGTATCTGTATTGCAAACTATAATGCCCAAAAGGAGAGAGATACAGAGGCAGAGAGAGACAGAGAGAGAAAGAGAGAAGAAAAGTGACTACCCTAGGGGCAGATTGGGGCGGTGGGGGTTGCAAGAGGGAAAATGCGAATATTGGTGGGGGGAGATGTACACTGAACATTTAGGGATGGGTGTCACACCGGGTAAGGCGTTTGCCTTGCACATGGCTGACCCGGGTTTGATTCCTCTGTCCCTCTCGTAGAGCCCAGCAAGCCACTGAGAGTATCCTGCCCGCATGGCAGAGCCTGGCAAGCTCCCCATGACCTATTCGAGATGCCAAACACAGTAAGAACAAGTCTTACAATGGAGACGTTACTGGTGCCTGCTGGAGCAAATCGATGAACAATGGGAGGACGGTGCTACAGTGCTACAGATGGGACATTGTATAACTGAAACCCAACCATGATCAGCTTTGTAACTCGGTATATCTCACAGTGATTTAACAAAAAATAAAATAAATGGGGCTGGAGTGATAGCACAGCGGGTCGGGCGTTTGCCTTGCACGCAACCAATCTGGGTTCGATCCCCAGCATCCCATCGGGTCCCCCGAGCACTGCCAGGAGTAATTCCTGAGTGCAGAGCCAGGAGGAACCCCTGTGCATCACCGGGTGGGACCCAAAAACCAAAAATTAAATAAATAAAATCAATGCAACGGGTTCCCCGGTGTTAGCCCCCAACCTCCAACAATGCTGGAACACTGCAGGGCCTGGGGGGAGGGGCCAGAGGTGGGGGGGTCTGTGGTCAAATTCAACTTCCTTCCCTCCAGAGTCACGGGGTGAGGGCTGGAGCGATAGCATAGCGGGGAGGGCATTGGCCTTGCACGCGGCTGACCCGGGTTCGATTCCCAGCACCCCATAGGGTCCCCCAAGCACCGCCAGGAGTGATTCCTGAGTGCAGAGCCAGGAGTCAGCCCTGAGCATTGCCGGGTGTGACCCAAAAAGAAAAAAAAAAGACACAGGAATAAGCTTCTATTCTCTGCAACCAGAAAGGTCTCCGTGGACACTCAGTGCAGCCTTGGCAAGGAGGGAGGAGGGATGGAGAGGGTGCAGGCATTCACGAAGCACAGAACCACGACCAAGACCCCCCAAAACCAGACCTGTTTATAGGGTGAGAGATGGTTTGGGGGGGCGGTGGCTGAACATTCTCTCACTAACTTAAATTTCTTCCCTCACTCTCCCTGGCTTCCCTTTGGAGGGGTCCGGTTTCCTGAGGCCGGATGCTTCTCAAGCCATCTGCCGCCATCTAGGGTATCTGGTCCCAATTGTGGGCGCATCTCCCCCGCCCCTCCCCAACCCTCTCGGAGCGGGGAGGGGGTCTCCCCACCACCACCACCACCGCGTTTCCAAGCGCGCCTGGCATTTCTCTGCTCCTGCTGTCTTGGTGGCGGCCTGTGGCAGCCGAGAAAACAATTCACCCAAAATTGACTGTGAGACTCTAATCCTGGACCCTTTGTGGGGGGGAAAAAGTGGAGGAACTGCCAGCCACAGCGGAGTGGGAGGAAGATATTTATCTTGGTCGAACCTCTGAGAACCAGAGGTTGCGTGCAGATCACACAGCCGGCAGATCCAGAGGAATCTATTGGGGGTCAACCACGGCCTTGGGGGGCATCATCCAAGGCAGAAGGTACCGATATCTCCTCCATTCAGGGGCTAGCTGCAGTTGGGGGCGCCCAGAGACCCCGGGGAGAGGAGTCAGCGTGGCAGGAAAGATTATTTCAAGCAGCCTGGCTATGCACGAGAAGCCCAGATCTTCAGGGTGCTGCTGGCTTTGGGCTCTGTTTTACCCAGTTTTTTTTTTCTGGATCTTTCCCTGCAGACCTCACGGCTCACTCTCAGGCTCATGAGACTCGAGGGTCTTTCCGCTTTGGCAGAAGACACAGTCATGAGCCAGGAGGACGAAATCATGAGTCAGCAGCGCCGGCAAAATCAACATCGATCCCGGCATCCCATAGGGTCCCCTGAGCACCACCAGGAGTAATTTCTGAGTACAGAGCACCATCAAGAGTAACTCCTGAGTGCAGAGCCAGGAGTAATCCCTGTGCACCACTGGGTGTGAGCCAAAAAACAAAATAAATAAATAAATAAATAAAATCCCCAATCACTACCCAAGTGAAGCAGAAAGCATTTCAGTTGTCACCTCGATTGATACCTGGTGAAATTTTCCTCTTTCGGGGTGCCCTGGCAGGGCTCAGCGAAACCAGGGTTCATGCCTGAGGATTCTCTACCAACGCATGGCGAATCAGTGCCAGGCCAACATCATTATTTTATTTATTTATTTATTTTTCTTTTTGGGTCCCACCCGGCAATGCTCAGGGGTTCCTCCTGGCTCATGCACTCAGGAATTTCTCCTGGTGGTGCTTGGGGGACCCTATGGGATGCTGGGAATCGAACCCAGGTCGGCCATGTGCCAGGCAAACACCCTCCCCGCTGTGCTATCGCTCCAGCCCCCAACATCATCATTTTACAGTTGTTTGGAAAACAGGTCCATGCGGGTGGGAAGCGCCGACGATCCAGTTCTCAGATCATGGCCCCGAGAACCAAGGTCATTGCTTCTAAAAGCAGCTTAGCCAGGAAAAACTGGAAGGTTTCAGAGGGTGGGAGTGATAGCACAGCGGGGAGGGCGTTGGCCTGGCACGTGGCCGACTCGAGTTCGATCCCCAGCATCCCATAGGGTCCCCCGGGCATCACCAAGAGTGATTCCTGAGTGCATGGGTCAGCCCTGAGCATCACCGGGTGGGACCCAAAAAGAAAAAAAAAAGGAAGGAGGAAGGGTGGAGAGGGTGCACGGAACCATGACCAAGACCCCACAGAGACAAGCCCAGGAAAAGATACTCCAGGAAAGTCCTGCGTAAGGTGAGAACCAGGTCTGGGTATGTTATTCCTGCACGACCCCATGAGCTCAAACAACTGCAAAGACTCCGAGAACTCACAGGGCCTTACAGGGGTGGCTTATGGTCACGGGCTGGGGATCTGGGGGCCCCTCGCTCCTGGAATCTCCCCCTTATTCTGTGTTATGGGCACATGATTCCGAGAAAAAGGAAGTTGGGCAAGAGAGCTGCGGAACAATGGAGCGGCTCTAATTCTTTCCTTGCTTCAGAACCCAAACCAGACCCCACGCTAATTCCTGAAATTGCCTGGGGAGGGAGAGATTAATGGGGAGGAGTCGGAGTACATCTCAACACGGTGTCCAGAAGCGGGACAGACTGTGTTCTGCCTCCTCCCGGGAGCACTCAGAGAAATCCCCCCCCCTCTCCCCACACACACTGCTAAAAATAAAAGCTAGAGCAGAAACACACACTCGGATGGATTGTACAAGAATGCAGAGGCCTCAGAAGAAGGCTGCAGTGAGATGATGTGGGTGTTCTCTGTGGGGGCAGCTCAGGAATACCTGTTAGGGTGCTCGACACAGGAAGAGGGGGAAGGGTGCCCCCAAGCTCCTAATAACTGAGCATGACAGGAGCCAGTGATGTGGGCACAGAGGGAAAGCAGAAGGGGGTGGCATAGCTAATACCAAGATGGACATATACCTTTACAGACTGCAGAGCCATGGAACTGCACTCAACTATGATGTTGTGAATGTGGACTCAGCTATGATGTCAGAAAACTGGGCTCAGCTGTGATGTCACAAAACTGGCCTGCGCTATGATCTCACAGGCTAGGCTGAGCTATGATGTCATAAAACTGTGGTTTATGTATGACATCATCACGAAACTGGGCTGCGCTGTGCTATCATAAAATGGACTGAGCTCTGACGTCACGGACTAGGCTGAGCTATGATGTTATAAAACCGGGTTTTATATATGACCTCATCATGAAACTGGGCTGCACTGACCCCTCATAAAATGGACCGATCTATGACGTCACGGACTAGGCTGAGTTATGATGTCATAAAACCGAGTTTTATATATGACATCATCATGACACTGGGCTGCACTATGCTGTCATAAAGTGGACTGAGCTATGACATCACGGACTAGGCTGAGCTCTGACGTCATAAAACCAGGTTGAGCTATGTATGACATCATAACACTTGACTACACTGCTATGGGGTTCAGCTATGGCATCACGAAACTGTGATATCATGGATTGGGCTGAGCTGTGACGTCATGAAAGTGGGCGGAGCTGTAACATCATGAAACCGGGCAGTGCTGTAAACATCATGAAAACGGGCTATGACGTAATGCACCAAAAGAGGGCTGGGTGAGGTAGGGCATGGGGAGAACTTTCTAGAATGGCCCAACTCCATGGGAAATCGACAGCATCACAAGGAAGAAACTGGTTTTGTATTTTCTTTTCTGCTCCTTGGTCCTAAGATCTCCCCATCTGGGGCCGGAACGATAGCACAGCGGGGAGGGTGTTTGCCTGGCACACGGCCGACCCTGGTTCGGTCCCTGGCATCCCATAGGGTCCCCTGAGTACTGCCAGGAGTGATTCCTGAGTGCAAGCCAGGAGGAACCCGGAGCATTGCCGGGTGTTAAAAAAAAGAGATCTCCCCAACAACAGTTATGTTACACCCCCACTCACGACCAAATTCTTCAGCCAGGTTCTATGACTGACTTTGTTCCACAGAACCGTGGTGTCCCATGGGGTCCCAGCACCCAAACCCTGGCTGGCTCTGAGGAAGGACCAAGAGAATGAGCCAGGGAGGGAGCTGGACTAGGTACTGTTCATCGTACTCCCTTTTCAAGAACCACCTCCTAGAGTACTAGCAATCTTTGGGGTAATGTCTTGAGGTGGGGGTTTCTGGGGTTCCAGAGGCAGTCAGGGCCCTGCCTCTCCCCAAGTGTTTACAAGCTATAGCAGTGCACTGTGGCACTGTCCTCCTGTTGTTCATCGATTTGCTTGAGCGGGCCCCAGTAACGTCTCCATGGTGAGACTCGTTGTGACTGTGTTTGGCATCTCGAGGATGCCACGGGGAGCTTGCCAGGCTCTGCCGTGCGGGCGGGATACTCTCGGGAGCTTGCCGGGCTCTCTGAGAGGGATGGAGGAATCGAGCCCGGGTCGGCCGCGTGCAAGGCAAACGCCCTCCCTGCTGTGCTAGTTTACAAGCTACTAGCAGAAAATGGGGGTGGCGTTCTGAGCGTTTGCTGATGCTTTTGTCTCCCTGGCTGATTTACGGATTCTTGTGGTCGCTGCTTTAGGAAGCCAAATCTTGAGGGCACAGTGGACTCCGGGACTATGGCAAGGGGGGTAGGACGTCAGAGGCGGCCAGCCAGCCAGTATCACTCAGGCTGGTGTTACCAAGAACCACCTGTGGGCTGGAGCGATAGCACAGCGGGGAGGGCATTGGCCTGGCACACGGTCGACCCGGGTTCAATTTCCGGCATCCCATAGGGTCCCCCAAGCACCGCCAGGAGTGATTCCTGAGTGCAGAGCCCTGAGCATTGCCAGATGTGGTCACAACTTTTATTTTTTATTATTTTTTTTCTTTTTTGGGTCCCACCCAGCGATGCTCAGGGGTTCCTCCTGGCTCTGCACTCAGGAATCACTCCTGGTGGTGCTCAGGGGACCCTATGGAATGCCGGGGATCGAACCTGGGTCAGCCGGTCCCAACTTTAAAAAAAAAACAGACAAAATCATAAGGGCCCCCTGGAATCAGGATTCTGGGAGCCCCAAAAGGTCCTTGAACTTGACCCCAGATGTCTATAGGTTCTCCTACCGCAAGATTTGATTTTTAAGTGAAGATAAGTTGTTTTATTTATTTGCGGGGAGGAGGGGGGCGTTTTGGGTCACACCCGGCAACGCACAGGGGTTCCTCCCGGCTCTGCACTCAGGAATCACTCCTGGCAGTGCTCAAGGGACTCTATGGGATGCTGGGAATCGAACCCGGGTCAGTCGCATGCTGGTTGGTGCATTCTCAAGCAGGCCAGTTTTGTGACATCACAGCTGAGCCCAGTTTTCTGACATCATAGCTGAGTCCACATTCACAACATCATAGTTGAGTGCAGTTCCAAGCACCAACCTGCTGTCTGCCTGTTTGGCACCCTCAGAAGTCTCCTGGTAGAGCTGGAGGCCTACCTCATGGCTGGACTCTGCATTCCCTGGGGAAATCACTCTTCTTACTCTTTAATTCACTGCATGGATTAAACCACTCTAGACCGGAGAGCCGCTGACTGGGCAGAGGCGCTACCAACCCGGCTACTCTAGAGGGCATTCCTTAGAGGGGAAGTCCGCGAGCCTGCAAGCAGACAGGCACGACACAGTGGCAGCAACAGGTCTCAAAAGAGCTGATGACAAGCACAGATGCCCACAGGAAAAAAACACCCACAGCCAACGCACTGGACTCCCACGTGGATTTCCAGTGGATGCTCTGAGAAGCCTGGACAGTGATGGGCATCACACGGCAGCAGCAAGTAGGAAAATAGACAAATTAGGATCATAAACGATCGGTTTGAGGCTCTTCATGTTCCCAGAGCGAACAGATGCCATTGGGCTACACTAGCACGCGACAGGGACAAATGGAGACGTTACTGGCGCCCGCTCGAGCAAATCAACGACTAACAGGAAGTTAAGTGATTAAGTGATTAAGGAGCACCGGTTGGACAGAGAGGGTTTAACAGGTGGTATGACAATGTGGATTTGATGGGGGGGGGAGATGTGTTCTTATCAAAAGGTTTTTTTTTTTTTTTTGCTTTTTGGGTCCTACCCGGCAATGCTCAGGGCTGACTCCTGGCTCTGCACTCAGGAATCACTCCTGGCGGTGCTCGGGGGACCCTGTGGGATGCCAGGGATCGAACCCGGGTCAGCCACGTGCAAGACAAACGCCCTCCCCGCTATGCTATTGCCCGGGCCCTGGGTTCATTACTGGATAGGAAGGAAGGGAGGGAGGGAGGGAGGGAAGGGAAGGGAAGGGAAGGGAAGGGAAGGGAAGGGAAGGGAAGGGAAGGAAAAAGGAAAAAAGAAAGGAAGGAAGAGAAGGAGGGAAGGAAGGAAGAAAAAGGAAAAAAAGAAGGAAGGGAAGGAGGGAAGGAAGGAAGGAAGGAAGGAAGGAGGGAGGGAGGGAGGGAGGGAGGGAGGGAAGAAAAAGGAATAAAAGGAAGGGAAGGAGAGAAGGAAGGGAGGGGAAGGGAGAAAGGAAGAAAGGAAGGAGGAAGGGAGGGAGGGAGGGAGGGAGGGAGGAAGGAAGGAAGGAAGGAAGGAAGGAAGGAAGGGAGGGAGGTCAGGAGGAATGCTGGGAGAAAAAATGTCAGTACAACCTGACCTGCAATTTAGAACTTACCCTCTTCTTGGAAAAACGTTAAAATGCGTTGTGTGAGTTTCTGAGCTACACCCAAATTAACTGCCATGAGCCCGCCCTTAGGGATCACACCCTGATTCACTGAACATCTGCATGCTTTGTTAATTCCCCATTTTGCCCCCTTCCTCATGTAATCGGTTCTAAAAGGCAAGCTTGGGCTGGAGCAATAGCACAGCGGCAGGGCGTTTGCCTTGCACACAGCCAGCCCGGCCGAGCCGGGTTCGATTCCTCCGCCCCTCTCAGAGAGCCCCGCAGGCTACCGAGCTGGCAAGCTCCCCGTGACGTATTCGAGATGCCAAACACAGTAACAAGAAGTCTCAACATGGAGACGGTACTGGGCCCGCTCGAGCAAATCGATGAACAACGAGAGGACAGTGTGTCACAGTAGCTTGGGAGAAATAAATTTGAAGCTTGATCCGAGCCTCGTCTTGCTCCCATTCTTCCGTCTCTCTTTTTTTCCACGTTGACTAGTCCCATGGGTCAGGGCAGAGAAAATAAGTGAAAAGGAGAGAAGGAGGAAGAAGGGAGGGAGAGTGGGAGAGAAGAGGAGGGAGGGAGGGAGGAGGGAGGGGGAGGGGTACTCACCTCTGCTCTTCCCGCTCTGGGTTGCAGCTCCCAGAAGCTGAGGGCCCCGTGGGGGCGACTGTCCTGAGGGCCACAGCGGAGACGCCCACCCGCGGGGAAGAAAAGAGGAGCAACACGGAGCTGGTGCAAAGCGACTGGGCAGCCGCGGGGCCGGTCACGTTGATGACCAATGGGTTGTGCTCACACGACAGGTCGTGAGTCCCTGCGGGTACCAGGGCAACGGTGGGTGGGGTGGCCCCCATCAGCCCTTGGGGAAGCGCCGTGAGCCCACCCGCGGGTGTCCATTCCGACCCGCCAGGGTTGTGGGGCACGGGCAAGATGACCCCTGAAGGTCAGAGGCAAATGTGAGCCCTGACTGGACAGAACTGTCCCTTCAAAGGAAGGAAGGGAAGGGGGGAAGGAGGGGAACGAGGGAGGGAGGGAAGGGAGGGAGGGAGGGAGGGAGGAAGGAAGGGAGGAAGGAAGGAAAGGAGGGAAGGAAGGGAAAAAGAGAAGAAAGGAAGGAAGGAAGGCAGGGAGGGAGGGAGGGAGGGAGGGAGGGAGGGAAGGAGGGAAGGGAAGGAAGGAAGGAAGGAAGGAAGGAAGGAAGGAAGGAAGGAAGGAAAGAAGGAAGGGAAAAAGAGAAGGAAGGAAGGAAGGAAGGAAGGAAGGAAGGAAGGAAGGGAAGAAAAGAAGGAAGGGAAAAAGAGAAGGAAGGAAGGAAGGAAGGAAGGAAGGAAGGAAGGAAGGAAGGAAGGGAAAAAGAGAAGGAAGGAAGGAAGGAAGGAAGGAAGGAAGGAAGGAAGGGAAGGAAGGGAAGGAGGGACTCACCCAGCTGGAGGCTGTGTCCACTGCGATCCACCAGGGAGAGCGTGACCGTTGGCGTCCCATGGTCCCCAGCTCCGACAGAGGTCAGGAACAGGAAAACGGCCGTGGCCACTCCAGGTCTGCTGAACCTCACCTAAGCGTGGACACAGAGGTGTGGCGGCCGCCAGCCCACCTCAGCCACTGAGGTGCAGGCCAGTGGGGACATGCAGACATCGTGGCCAGGTTGCCACTTATCATGTGGGTGTGCCCGGATAGATGGCCAAGGATGACAGCTGGGAGAGTGTTTGCTTTCCACATGGCTGACCCGGGTTCGATCCCTGGCATCCCATAGGGTTCCTCGAGGACCACCAGGAATAATTCCTGAGTGCAGAGCCAGGAGTCAGCCCTGAGCATCGCCAGGTGGGACCCAGAAAGAAAAAATATATATACAGAGAGAGAGGGCCGAAAGGATTATGGAAGAGGCAGAGGGCGGGGCTGGAGTGATAGCACAGGGTTGACCTTGCACTTGGCCAACCCAGGTTCGATCCCAGGCATCCCATAGGAACCCTTGAGCACTGCCAGGAGTAATTCCTGAGCAGAGTCAGGAGTCGGCCCTGAGCATCGCTGGGTGTGACCCCAAAAGACACACACACACACACAAATTAGAGATGACCAAAGGAAATAAAAAAAGAAGCAGAAAGCTGTACAGCACAGAGGGCATTTGCTTTACACATGGTCAACCCAGGTTTAATTTCCGGCATTCCATATGGGTCACCAGGAGTGATCCCTGAGCACAGAGCCAGGAGTCAGCTCTGAGAACCGCCAGGGGTGGTTCCTTCCTTTCCTCCAAGAGAGGCAGAGTTTCTGCAGTCTTCTGAAAAATGTGAAAGAAAGAAAGAAAGAAAGAAAGAAAGAAAGAAAGAAAGAAGAAAGAAGAAAGAAAGAAAGAAAGAAAGAAAGAAAGAAGAAAAGAAGAAAGAAAGAAAGAAAGAAAGAAGGAAGGAAGGAAGGAAGGAAGGAAGGAAGATGGAGGGAGGGAGGGAAGGAAGGAGAAAAGGAAAAAAGAAGGGGAGGGAGGAAGGAAGAAAGGAAGAGAAAGAAAGGAGAAAGGGAGGAAGGGAAGGAGAGAAGGTAGAGAGGAAGAAAGGGAGGGAGGGAGGGAGGGAGGGAGGGAGGGAGGGAGGAAGGAAGGAAGGAAGGAAGGAGGAAGAAAAAGGGAGGGAGGGAAGAAAGGAAGGAGAGAAGGAGAGAAGGAGAGAAGGAAGGAAGAAGGAAGAAAGAGAAGGAGGGAGGAAAAAAGGAAAGAAGGGAGGTAGGAAGGAAGGAAGGAGGGAAGGAGGGAAGGAAGGAAGGACCAACAGGGTACAAAAGAAAGGAAGAAAGAAAGAAAGAAAGAAAGAAAGAAAGAAAGAGACAGAAAAAGAAAAGAACAAAGAAAATTACATCTGAACCAGATTTGATCCCTTCCTATTTCATGTGGTATTAGATGGGTCTGTGAAAAGCAGGCTGGAGCCATAGCACAGCTGATAGGGCATTTGCCTGGCACGCGGCCGACCCGGGTTCGATTCCTCCGTCCCTCTTGGAGAGCCCGGCAAGCTACTGAGAGTATCCTGCTCGCATGGCAGGGGCTGGCAAGCTCCCCGTGGCGTATTCGATATGCCGAAAACAGTCACAAGTCTCACAATGGAGACATTACTGGCGCCCCGCTCAAGCATATAGATGAACCACGGGAGGACAGCGCCAGGGTGCTGTCAGAGTGAAAATCAGCTCTTCTTTCTCAAATTTACTTACAAACTTCCACTGAAATGGATCCTGTATTTTTTCCCCCAGAGATTAAAAAAAAAGTTTTCTTTTTCGAATCTATACAATGGAATACCATGCAACAGGTTAGGGAAAATGAAGTCATGAAATTTGCCTATAAATGGATGGACATGGAGAGTATCATGCTGAGAGAGATGAGTCAGAAGGAGAGGGACAGATATAGAACGACTGCACTCATTCGTGGGATATTAAATATATAGTCACTGTCACCGTCACTGTCCTCCCGTTGTTCATCGATTTGCTCGGGCGGGCACCAGTAATGTCTCCATGGTGAGGCTTGTTGTGACTGTGTTTGGCATCTCGAAGACGCCACGGGGAGCTTGCCAGGCTCTGCCATGTGGGTGAGATACTCTCAGTAGCTTGCCGGGCTCTCCAAGAGGGATGGAGGAATCGAACCTGGGTCGGCCGCATGCAAGGCAAACCCCTACCACTATAGCAGAAAACTAATATCCAAGGCCTGGGAAAACAGGGACTAGGAGGACCGGTCAGTGGTTGGAATCAACCACAAGTGTATGTGGGGTGAAGAATGGGTAAGTTAGAGAAGGGACCAGGGTGACAATGATAGCTGGGAAGGGTCACGCTGGACAAGAGCTGAGGGTTCAAAGGAGGTAAAGGAATATACACGATAATCTTTCAGTATCTGTTTTGAAACTGCAATGCAGAGAGAGAGAGAGAGAGAGAACTGTCCCCCATAGAGGCAGGCGCTTGGGGGGAGTTGGGGGATGATGGGAGGGAACCTGGGGACCCTGGTGCCGGGAAATGTGCCCTGGTGGAGGGACGGGTGTTGGAACACTACAGGACTGAAACCCAATCATGAACAACTTTGTAACTGTATATCTCAATTAAAAATATTTTTTTAACCAGTCATCTGTTCTCGGGCAGAAAGAGAGGGAGAGGCATAGAAAGATTGCATTCATCTGGGGAACATAAAGTAACAAAATAGGAGACTAACACCCAAGAACGGCCGAGATTAGTACCAGGAATTTTGCTCCATGGCTTGGAGGCCAGCCACACATGCTAGGGGAAAAGGGAGCTCGGATAGAGAAGGGAGCACCAAGTAAAGGGTGCTGGGAGGATCCACCCAGGATGGGAGATGCATGCTGAAAGTAGACTCTAGACAGAACATGATGGCCACTCAATGCCTCTTTTGCAAACCACAACACCCAAGAGGAGAGAGAGAACAAAGGGGAACAATTTGAACACAGAGGCAGGGTGGGATGGGGGGATGGGGGGTGGGAGGGATACTGGGACCCGTGGTGGTGGAAAATGGGCACTGGTGGAGGGATGGGTACTGGATCATTGTATAATCAAAACCCAAGCACAAAAATTTGTAAGTCTACACTGTACCTCATGATGTCTCACTAATAAAAATTTAAAAATTAAAAAAAAATAATCTTTTTAATTAAAAATTTTTTCTTTCTTTTTTTTTTTTTTGCTTTTTGGACCACACCCAGCAATGCTCAGGAAATCACTCCTGGCGGTGCTTGGGGGACCCTATGGGATGCCAGGGATCGAACTTGGGTCAGCCATCTGCAAGGCAAACGTACTCCCCACTGTGCTATCTCTCCAGCCCCCCCAAAAAAATAAATTTAAAAATAAATACAAATTAATTCAATTTTGATTAAATAAAATATATTAAACCTTTTAAAAATGGTTTCTCCCACAGCACTGGTTGTAAGAAGCGGACCCAAAGTTGGCACATCTACGGGAGCCATTTGGCACAGAGACCCGCGTGAAACATCTAACATGGCCCACGCTCCCACGTCCCCCCCCACCCCCAGGGGCTCCTGCCCCCACTTACTCTGAGCTGCATCTTCTGCTGTCCATCCAGGCTGGCCCCATCCTGAGAGGCGTTACCGACAGGGCCACAGGGGAACCAGCCCGTTGGTAGAGAGCGCTTGGGCAAATCAGCCTGGTAAGGTGTGCAACTCTGAAAGGCAGAGTGCAGAGAGGGGAGTGAGGAGAGGGAGAGGGGGGAGGGAGAGAGGGAAGAGAGAGGAAGAGGGAGAAGGAGAGGAAGAGATGGAGGGAGAGAGGGGCAGAGAGCAGAGAGAGAGAGAGCTCCTGGCACTGGTATGCCCATCTGGGGCCTGACCGGCATGGAGGGGTTGCCCCTTGCCAGCTCTCTAAAACCTTCTCCCTGAGCGGGAGTACTCAGCATTGCCGCCCTCCCGGCCAACTCACCAGGGAGTGGGGCTCCCCGGTCACCAAGGACGCAGGGCAGTCCCAGTCTTCATGAGGGGACGTGGCCTGGACTGTCCACTGATCCTGGAAGCCGTCAGGGGGGCGGAGGCCGCAGTCCTGGAAGCTGGTGGCTCTCTCGAAGGGCTCACAGTGTCCGTCCCCCTCGTGCACGTAGCAGAGACTGGGGTCTCCTGGTGAGAGGAACAGGGGCCTGGCTGAGACGCCACGGAACCTGGAGGGCGTTTTCTTCAGGCCACAAGAGAGAATCCCGAAACTGGGGGCTTCACACTCCTAAACACAGGGCACTGTCTCTGATCAGAGGCGGGGGTGCAGGATAACACGGGCGTGGCCTTTCTGCCTTGCTGCAGGGAGCTTAGGTGGATTGGGTTACTCCCAGCACAGTGCTCCCATTCCTCTGTGTTTATTTGCGACTTCTTTCTTTGTGCTCTGTTGACTCGTGAGCAATGCACTGCAGCACGGTCCTCCCGTTGTTCGTCGATGTGCTCGAGCGGGCACCAGTAACGTCTCCATGGTGAGACTTGTTGTGACTGTGTTTGGCATCTCGAGGATGCCACGGGGAGCTTGCCAGGCTCTGCCACGTGGGCGGGATACTCTGGGTAGCTTGCCAGGTTCTCCGAGAAGGATGAAGGAATCGAACCCGGGTCAGCTGTGTGCTATAGCTCCAGCCTGTTGGCTTGTAAATACTGTTTTTCTCTTCTCCTTGAGTCCTTTGCATCGTTAATTCAGAGCAATGGCCTTTTTGTATGGTTATGTGGGGACAGAAAGACAGTAATGCTATTTTTCCGGGGGGGCCTTTTGGTCACACCCTGTGATGCTCAGGGGTTACTCCCTAGCTCTGCACTCAGGAATTACTCCTGGTGGTGCTCAGGGGACCCTATGGGATGCTGGGAATCGAACCCGGGTCGGGCCGCGTGCAAGGCAAATGCCCTCCCCGCTGTGCTATCGCTTCCAGCCCAGTTAATCGACTCTAAATGAATTTTTCCTCCTGAGCATCTGTTCTCTTGACCTAAGCCTCAGCTGCCCTAACTTCCTCAGTTGACCCCCAAAGCAGGGTCCCGACGAGGGACTGGATGGACCCAGGGCAAGCGGTGAGCTATGTGCTACCCTGGCATCGAGATGGGCCTGGCCAGAGCGCCATCATGCTTAACTATAAGTTAAGAGTTTGGTCATGGACAAAGGCTGTCATGATCCAAAAAGCAATAACTAGATTCAGACCCTGCTAGGTTAGGAATGATTCATCTGGCCTGAGCACTGTAGTCTGAGTCTGTGGCAAGACGTTCCCAGAGAGCCGCCCTACGCCTCAATGTATTTCTTACTGTGTCCATACAAAAATAACTAATATTAAGATGTTAATTAAGATGTTAGGAGAAGAGGAATACCCCCAGGTGGTGTTTCTGCCCTGGAGCCTGATGGGCAGTCAGGAAGGGCTTTGGAATACCATTATACAGTGGGGGATATAGAAGTAGTTAAAATTAAAAGAGGTCGAGGAAGAAGGTGGGGGCGTTGGCAGTGGCTGGGGGCTGGATACAAAAGAAATGAGGAAAAAAGACATTTTGGGGAGTCTTTGGGAAGGATGAAAAGATGGGAAAATTTTTAAAGATGGAAAAATACTTCAGGAAATGAGTCAGAAGGAGAGGGAGACGGAGAGGGACAGACACAGAATGATTGCACTCATTTGTGGGGCATTAAAATAAAAGTATGAGGCGAATCCCCAAAGACAGAAGAAACATGGGCCAGGAAGGTTGGTCCAGGGTTGGATGCCGGCCTCAGGTGCTAGGGGAGAGGGCAGGTGGGATAGAGAGGGGACCATTAGGGAAATGATGGTTGGAAATGATCACACTGGGTAAGAACTGCACGTTGAAAGGAGACAAAGCGACAAACATGATAACCTCTCTGCGTGGCGTATCTGTATGGCAAGCCATAATGCCCAAAAGAAGAGTGGGAGGGAGAGAGACAGAGAGAATAAAAGGAGGAGGAGGAGGAGGAGGAGGAGGAAGAGGAGGAGAGGAGGAGGAGGAGGAGGCCAGGAGAAGGAGGAGGAGAGGAGGAAGAGGAGGAGGAGGAGGAGGAGGAGGAGGAGGAGGAGGAGAAGAAGAAGAAGAAGAAGAAGAAGAAGAAGAAGAAGAAGAAGAAGAAGAAGAAGAAGAAGAAGAAGAAGGAAGAGGAGGAGGAGGAGAAGGAGGAGGAGGAGGAGAAGGAGAAGGAGAAGGAGAAGAAAGAGAAGAAAGAGGAGAAGGAGGAGAAGGAAGATAAGGAGGAGAAGGAGGAGGAGAATAAGAAGGAGAAGAAGGAGAAGAAGAAGAAGAAGAAGAAGAAGAAGAAGAAGAAGAAGAAGAAGAAGAAGAAGAAGAAGAAGGGAGAGGAGGAGGAGGAGGAGGAGGCCAGGAGAAGGAGGAGGAGAGGAGGAAGAGGAGGAGGAGGAGGAGAAGAAGAAGAAGAAGAAGAAGAAGAAGAAGAAGAAGAAGAAGAAGAAGAAGAAGAAGAAGAAGAAGGAAGAGGAGGAGGAGGAGAAGGAGGAGGAGGAGAAGGAGAAGGAGAAGGAGAAGAAAGAGAAGAAAGAGGAGAAGGAGGAGAAGGAAGATGAGAAGGAGGAGGAGGAGAATAAGAAGGAGAAGAAGGAGAAGAAGAAGAAGAAGAAGAAGAAGAAGAAGAAGAAGAAGAAGAAGAAGAAGAAGAAGGAGGAGGAGGAGGAGGAGGAGGAGGAGGAAGAAGAAAGAAGAGGAAGAAGAAGAGGAAGAGGAGGAGAAGGAGGATAGGAGGAGGAAGAAAGAAGGAGGAGAAGGAAGGATGAGGAGGAGGAAGAGGAGGAGGATAAGGAAGAGGAGAAGGAGGATGAGGAGAATGAGGAGAGGAGAAGGAGGAGGAGAAGGAGGAGTAGGAGGAAGGGGAGGAGGAGGAGAAGGAGGAGGAGAGGAGGAGGAAGAGAAGAAGGAGGAGGAGGAGGAGAAGGAGGAGGAGAAGGAGAAGAAGAAGAAGAAGAGGAAGAAGAAGAAGAAGAGGAAGCGGAAGAAGAAGAAGAAGAAGAGGAAGAAAAGAAGAAGAGGAGGAGGAGGAGGAAAAGGAGGAGGAGGAGGGGAGGAGGAGGAGGAGAAGGAGGAGGAGAAGAAGGAGAAGAAGAAGAAGAAGAAGAAGAAGAGAAGAAGAAGAAGAAGAAGAAGAAGAGGAGAAGAAGAAGAGGAAGAAGAAGAAGAAGAAGAAGAAGAGGAGGAGGAGGAGGAGGAGGAGGAGAAACTGGGGATATTGGTGGTGGGAAATATACACTGGTAGACACGTGTTGGAACACTCTACGTATGACTGAAACCCAACCACGATCAGCTTTGTAACTTTCTCTCACGGTGACTCAATTAAAATAAATAAATAAATAAATAGAAATACTTCAGGGTCAGAGAGATAGTCCAGTGGGTAGGTCACTTGCCTTGAACATGGCCGACCCGGGTTTGACCCTTGGCACCCCATAGGGTCCCCTGAGCTCCCCGGGAGTGATCCCTGAGTGCAGAGCTGGAGAAACTCTGAACACAGCCGGGTGTGGCCCCCAAACCAAAAATAAAATAAAAATATTTCATCATAATTAGGCATTGAATAGATTATTCTTTTAATAATAGTCTAAGTCTTACACCACAAGCAGAATTTGTGGCCTGCGTTTGCTTCTGATGCATTTTTTAAAAATTATTTGCAGTCAGACACTGGGATGGCTCCCGGAAGTTCTGCTTCTCATCAACATGTCGTAAATGAATTATTTTCCTCAATAATTATGTTTTCAACCCTCAGACTGCTTCTGTGGCAAATCTCTCTCTCTCCTGGCCAGAAATAAGCCATGATTCCTGGAACTGTGTCTCAAAGTCTGTTTGGGCTCGAAACTCCTGCAGTTCATTAAAGCGAAGGCGTGTTCACGCCATATGCCTCAAACCAACACATGTATATTTGGCTGTTCTGAGACACTGACTGCTTCCTCTCTCTCTCATACAGGCATAAGGACACACCTGTGTGTGTACATGAATATGCAGACAATCAAACGGAGGTTGGGATGGACTGATGCATGGACATAGATGTGTGAATGGTCTGTCTTTTACATACTTTATCACTTACAACACCGACTCTTCCTAGCATACATTTCTGCGTTTCCATCTTTCACTTTCTTTCTTTTTTTTTCTTTTTTGGTCACACCCAGCATTGCACAGGGGCTACTAATGACTCATGCTCTCAAGAATTACTCCTGGCGGTGCTCGGGGGACCCCATGGGATGCTGGGAATCGAACCTGGGTCGGCTGCGTGCAAGGCAAACGCCCGACCCGCTGTGCTATCGCTCCAGCCCCTCACTTAATGTGTTTCATCTCTCCTCTTTTCTTTAATTTTTGCCGGGGATGGGGCTACAGCATTTAGGCTCCTCAGCTGACATGTTGAGGTTAAAATCCTGGGGGTCCCTGAGACAGCTGTCACCATGGATAATAATCATAGGTATGAATGACTTTGACCTTGTGGGTTAATGAGAGCTTCATTTTCTTGGTACAAATCTTTTTAGAGGAGAGGGGGCCTCTATGAATCGCCTCTTTTTCCTGTTATGTGTCAAATGAGACATCACTTGGCCCTGAGCAGAACGGCCATTGGCCACTGTTCCTATTAACCTGCAACTTGAGAGGCGAAAAAAATTTGTGATTTTTGAGAGTCGACTTGAGAGAAGGAATCTGGAGTTCTGACCTCCGTCGACGATCAAGAATCAGGGACGCTGTCTCATTTGCCGAGGCATCAAAAATCAGATGGGCCGGACACATCATGCGATTTAGAGATGGCCGCTAGACTAGAGCCGTTACTGACTGCATTTCACGGGACGTCGAAAGAACGCATGGGGGCTGGAGCAATAGTACGGCACGTAGGGCATTTGCCTTGCACGTGGCCGACCTGGGTTCGATTCCCAGCATCTTATGTGGTCCCTTGAGCACCACCGGAGTAAGTCCTGAATGCAAAAGCCAGGAGTAACCCCTGTGCATTGCCAGGTGTGACCCAAAAAGACAACAACAACAACAACAACAGAAAAAAAAACGCCTGGCTGCCCACCTACAAGATGATCAGACTTCTTCGTCAAAACCCTGAACAAACGGCTTGAAGCTCTTCGTGTTCCTGGAATGAGCAGACGCCCTCAGGCTACACTAGCATGCGACAGGGACGAAGGGAGACGTTACTGGTGCCCGCTTGAGCAAATTGATGATCAAGGCGATGACAAGTGACAAGTGACAGAGGCAACTTAAGAGCAAGATCCCACAATAAATCACAGAGCCTCCTTTCCACATTGGACACATGCTTGGGCGTCTGATTTTTCTGTGTTTTTTTTTTCTTTTTGGGTCACACCTGGCTCTGCACTCAGGAAAAACTCCTGCCGGTGCTCAGGGGATCATATCGGATGCTTGGAATCAAACCCAGGTCGGCCGCGTGCAAGGCAAATGCCCTACCCACTGTGCTATCTCTCCAGCCCCGTGATTTTTCTGTTGTTTGGGGCTGTGCTGGGGGGAGGTCCTGAGGCCACTCCTGACAATACTCAGTCAAGGGGGGTATGGGCGACAGTCAATGAGAGGGGCTGAGTTTTGCGGTGCTGCTCTGGCCTTATGTGGGTCTAGGGACCACCAGGACCACCCAGGCTGAGCTCAGGAGACCCCGTGGTGTTGGGGACCGATCTCCTGACCCCCACGCCCTGTTCTCACCTGTGCAATGGAAGCCTTCCTCCAGCCGGCACGTCTTAGAGCATCCGTCTCCATTGAGAAGGTTCCCATCATCACATTCTTCCCCCAGGCTCCTAGAAGGTCAGATGAGACAGTCACCTCCACACTGACACAGTGACCTCCAGAAAGAGGCTGTCCTCCTCCTAGACCACCCTCCCCCACCACCACCAAACACCTCCAAGTTTCACATCACCGACAGCCCAGGAGGACCACAGCAAATTGGACGGGAAGGTTGCGTTGAAGTGCGCCACACTCAGTGAGAGAAAACAGTACCACAGAAGACTCAACCCAGCATCCACCAGCTCAGAAAATTCCTCAGACAGTGACTTCAGGAATGCCATTGTGAGATCTATATTTTCTTTTTTCTTCTTTTTATTTTTTCTTTTTGCTTTTTGGGTCACACCCGGTGATGCCCAGGGGTTCCTCTTGGCTCTGCACTCAGGAATTACTCCTGACAGTGCTCAGGAGACCATATGGGATGCTGGGAATCGAACCCTGGTTGGCCATATGCAAGGCAAACGCCCTCCCCACTGGGCTATTGCTCCAGCCCCAGGATCTGTTTTCAGGAGCAATATAAAGTGAATTATTCTGAGCCTGTGGAAGGGGTAGGTATGGTGGAGCCAGTTGAAAAACTGGGGACATTGGTGGATGGAAGGTCACACCAGTGGTGAGGTTGGTGTTGGAACACTGAATGCCTGAAACAACTGTAATCATGAACTCAGTAAATCACAGGATTATAGTAATAGTAATTATAATAAATGATAAAAAAATTTGAGAAACAACTGTTCTTAGCCAACATCACTTTAGTCTTCGCTTTCTTCAATTTATTTATTTATTTATTTATTTATTTTTCATGGGATTTGTTGTTGGTTGGTTGGTTTTTGGATTCAGGGGCCGCTCAGGGCTTACTCTGGAGCTCAGTTCTGGTGCTGGTCAGGAAACTGTATGGGGTGTGCTGGGGATGAAACCAGGTTGGCAGGAGTGCCTCACCTGCTCTGCTACCATCATTTAAAACACAGTAACAGCAAGTCTCACGATGGAGATGTTACTGAACCCGCTTGAGCAAATCGATGAACAACGGGAGGACAGTGATATCAGTGATTTATTTTTTTAAGTACAAGCCAGAGAAAAGTCAGAGCAATGAGACGATGTCTACAAAACCAACAGAACAAGATGCCTATAGACAGACATTTAGAGAAGATGCAGTTTGAGTCACGAATACTGACTGGCAGGGAGTGACGGAAATTCCTTAAGCTCACAACTCAGCAACATGGTCTTTTAGCTAGAAAAAGCCCACAGGTCTTATAAGGACTGGATAGTTCTAAAAATTTAAAAGAGCCAATTTTGTGGGGTGGCTTCTTCTATGATATTTGTTTATTTATTTATTTGGCTTTTTTGGGTCACACCCAGCGATGCTCAAGGCTGACTCGTGGTTCACACAGTCAGGTATTACTCCTGGCGGTGCTCGAGGGACCCGATGGGATGCTGGGGACTGAACCCAGATTAGCCATGTTGCAAAGCAAATGCCCTCCCCGCTGTGCTATCACTCCGGTCCCCAATTTCTATAGCGTTTTTATCTGATACAGATGTTTTCATCGAGGAAACTGCTCTTACTCCCTAGTACCACCTGCTGGCCATGAGTATGTATTGCAGGGGAGAATGGCAATACATGGAAAATTTGTGGTTTTGACTTTTTTTTTAAATTAAACTTTTTTTTAATGGATCAACAGAAGCATATAAATATAAGTTGGTCCAGAAAAGATCTCCAAAGAATAAGAATTTTTGTCCAGTTTGGCTGTGGTTTTGACTTTTTTTTTATCAAACTGTTTTTTTTTTAATGGATCAGCATATAAATATAATTTGGTCCAGAAAAGATCTCCAAAGAATAAGAACTTTTGTCCAGTTTGGCTGTTGTGCCAATTCTATTCCTTTTTTCTTTTTTTTTTCTATTTTTTATTAGTGAGACACCATGAGGCACAGTTGTAGACTTACAAATTTTTGTGCTTGGGTTTTGACATTTATAACTGCTGATTAATTAATATTGGATTGAGGTGAAGGGGTTAGATTACAGTGAGGGGTATGTGCCGCACATAATTGGGACCAAGTGGATAAATTGGCCTGAAGCCCCTTTTAAAGAACCAGGATTTGGCTATTATAAGATAGATTGCAAATTTCTTTTTCCCCCCTCCTGAATGGACACATATTTTAACTTAATGGACAAAAGGTTTTGAAATGCTGAGGAGTTTTTTTTTATTCCCAGGGCATCATTTATGAGACTAACCACTGTCTAAATTATAAGAAGCTCCAAACTGTTTATAGGGTGGAGATAAACATTACATGATTAATTACCACTAAGAATGCTTTCAAGTTAATTAAATGTTTAAATATATTTACTAGTAGAAAATCCTAAGTGGAAAAAGGACTTAAAAATATGGAAGAAAATGGCCTCATTAAAGAATTTACATGCACTCAAATTTCATTTGGAAGAGGATCAAGAATCTAATCGTTCTGGGGCTGGAGCGTTAGCACAGGAGGGAGGGTGTTTGCCTTGCACGCGGCCGACCTGGGTTCGATTCCTGGTATCCCATAGGGTCCCCTGGGCACCGCCAGGAGTGATCCCTGAGCGCAGAGCCAGGAGTAACCCCTGAGCATCGCCAGGTGTGACTCAAAAAGAAAAAAAAATGAATCTAATTGTTTAGTGGCTCACAGGAATAAAACAGCCGGCCGGGCAAGTTACCAACTGCCCACCCTCCATGGGAAAACAATTGAAGTGTTCACCCCTCCCCCCTTCTTCCAGGGGAGATATTACCACGGAGCCTGAAGGATTCACTGCCTCAAGAACACTAGAAACTGCATCAATCAATAGTACAGCAGGGAGGGAATTGACCTTGTATGTAGCCAACCCCAGGTTCGATCCCCAGCATCCCATAGGGTCCCCCAAGCACCGCCAGGAGTGATCCCTGAGTTGAGAGCCAGGAAGAACCCCTGAGCATCACTGGGTGTGACCCAAAAAGCAAAAAAAAAAAGGCACTAAAAACTAATGCCCACGGCATGGTGGCACTCCTGCGTGGTTAGGCATCTTACTGCAAACAGGACTTCCTGGGGGTGACATTGTGAGAATTATATCAGGAATTAAATCAGAATCACAGCAGAGCCTGGCAAGCTCCCCGTGGCGTATTCGATATGCCAAAAACAGTGACCATAACGGGCCTCATTCCCCTGACCCTGAAAGAGCCCCCAATATGGCAGCGTTGGGAAGGACGAGTCAGGAGAGGCTGCTAAAATCTCAGGGCTGGGACGGATGGAGACGTTACTGGTGCCTGCTCGAGCAGATCGATGAACAATGGGATGACAGTGACACAGCGACACAGTGATTGGCCCCATCCAGTGCCAAGTCTGCACAGCCCCTGGCACTCACCTGGTCACTGTCCCATCGCCACAGAAAGCCGCACCGTGTGTGTGACTCAGAGCAGGAGAGAGTTCCCCCAGTTCGCCACTGGCTTCAGTTTGGACCTGGTACCGATACGTCTGCCCAGACCGGACCTCGCTGTGGAGGGAGAGCAAAACAAGGAGTGATCACTGGGTCCAGAAGGAGGACGTTTGGGGCTGGAGCGATAGCACAGCGGGTAGGGCGTTTGCCTTGCATGCGGCCGACCCAGGTTCGATCCCCGGCATCCCCTAGCGTCCCCCGAGCACCACCAGGAGTGATTCCTGAGTGCAAAGCCAGGAATACTCCTTGTGCATCGCCAGGTGCAACCCCAAAAGAAAAACAAATAATAAAATAAAATAAAACACCTGTCTTGCTGGGCCCGAGCAAAAAGACAGCAGGGATGGCATTTGCCTTGCATGAGGCTGACCCGGGTTCGATCCCCAGCATCCCATAGGGTCCCCCAAGCCTGTCAGGAGCGATTCCTGAGCACAGAGCCTGGAGTACTGCCAGGTGTGGTCCCCATAACAAATAAAAAGCTGATGGAGAGGACCCCCGGGGAGAGACAAGGATGAGAACCCTCTATTTGAGCCATCTCTTTTTTTTTTTTTAATTTTCATTAGTGAAACACCATGAGGTACAGTTGTAGACTTACAAACTTGCGTGCTTGGCTCTCAGTTATACAGTGATCGAGTACCCATCCCTCCACCAGTGCCCATTCTCCACCACCACTGATCCCAGGAGCCCTCCCACCCCCTCTCCATCTCCCCCCCGCCCAAGGGCTCAGCCTCTGTGGCAGGGCATTCCCTTTAGCTCTCTCTTTCCTTCAGGGTACTGTGCTTTGCAATGGAGGTATTGAGTGGCCTTCGTGTTTGGTCTAGAGTCTACTTTCAGCACCCATCTCGCATCCCGAGCGAGTCCTCCAAACATCCTTTACTTGGTGTTCCCTTCTCCATCTGAGCTGCCTTTTCCCCCAGCATGTGCTGCCGGCTTCCAAGCCATGGAGCAGATCTCCTGGTACTTTTCTCAACTATTCTTGAGTGTTCGACTCCCATTCTATTACTTTATATCCCCCAGATGAGTGCAGCCTTTCTATGTCTGCCTTTGACTCATTTCACTTAGCAGAAGACTTTCCATGTAGAACCAAATTTCACGACTTCATCTTTTCTCACAGCTGCATAGTATTTCATTAACTGAGTCACCTCTTGCGGTGATGTCGGGGGGTCCCTTTGGTCCTGCTGAACCCCCTCAAACCCTTCACCCGGCACCCCATGACTGTGCCTGTCTGGGAAGTGCATGTCCCAAGTGTGGGTCCCAGGTCCCAGCCCGCTCTACTCACAGGTCCGTGAACTGCCTCTGTGGGTGCATGACCTCCACAGGCCGGCCGTCGGCAAACGGGGGGTCCCGCCACAGCCGGTAGGTGACAGGGGTGCAATGCGCACACAGCGGGTTGCGGGGCCGTGAGCTCAGTAGTGCTGCATCGACCTCGACCCCGTCATAGGCCGAGTAGAGCTTCACCCCGGCCACCTTCCCGCTCACGGCCAGCCGGACGGTCAGTGGCGCGTCGCAGGTCGTGTCCAGGGGCCCCAGGTGCACGGACACCCCGTTCTGCAGCAGGACCTCGGCGTCCAGGAGCGTGGGGGAGGCGTCGGGCCGGGAGAGGTAGGTGAGCCACACGGTGAGTGCGTCGGCCGCCACGGCGTGCTGGAAACGGAGCTCTAAGATGCAGCCCTCGACCGGGCAGGGCACCGTCACGTTGGCGTGTGGCAGGTGCAGTTCCGGGCTCCAGGCTCGCAGGTTGGGCAGGCAGGGAAGGTCCACATCCGGAGAGCCTGCAGGTGGCCAAATGGATGAACGAGGATCAGAACCTGGGCGCCCGGGTCTATGGGTCTATGGGTGGAGGAGGACGACCAGGGTTCAATGCCTGGAGCCTCATACGGTCCCCCCGAGGCCACCAGGAGGATTCCTGAGTGCAGAGCTGGGGGCAAGCCCTGTGTATCGCCGGGTTTAGGAAGGGGAAGGGCAGGGAGGAGGGGAGGGGAGGGGCGAGGGCCTTACAGGACTGGACAAGGCAGGGCAGAAAAGGCACATCTCGGGGGCTGGAGTAATAGCACAGTGGGGAGGGCGTTTGCCTTGCATGTGGTCGACCCCAGTTCGATCCCCAGCATCCCGTAGGGTCCCCTGAGCACCACCAGGAGTGATTCCTGAGTGTAGAGCTAGGAGGAACACGGAACACCCTCCACAAAAGAAATGAGATAGATCAGGGGCTGAACGATAACACAGTGGGGGTGTTTGCCTTGCATGCAGCTGACCCGGGTTCGATTCCCAGTATCCCATAGGGTCCCCTGAGCACCGCCAGGAGTGATTCCTGGGTGCATGTGCCAGGAGTAGCCCTTGTGCATCTCAGGGTGTGACCCAAAAAGGAAAAAATAAAGACAAAGTGTCATAGTGTTTTGAAGGTGATACAAATTATCATTGTGTTTAATGGGTGATACAAAGTATCATGGTGTTTAAAAGGTGATACAAGGGCTGGAGCAATAATACATCAAGGAAGGCGTTTGCCTTGCACTCGGCCAACCCGGGTTCGATTCCCGGCATCCCATAGTGTCCCCCAAGCACCGCCAGGAGTGATTCCTGGGTGCATGTGCCAGGAGTAGCCCTTGTGCATCTCAGGGTGTGACCCAAAAAGGAAAAAAAAAACAAAGTGATACAAAGTGTCATAGTGTTTTGAAGGTGATACAAAGTATCATAGTGTTTAATGGGTGATACAAAGTATCATGGTGTTTAAAAGGTGATACAAGGGCTGGAGCAATAATACATCAAGGAAGGCGTTTGCCTTGCACGCGGCCAACCCGGGTTCGATTCCCGGCATCCCATAGTGTCCCCCAAGCACCGCCAGGAGTGATTCCTGGGTGCATGTGCCAGGAGTAGCCCTTGTGCATCTCAGGGTGTGTCCCAAAAAGGAAAAAAAAAAGACAAAGTGATACAAAGTGTCATAGTGTTTTGAAGGTGATACAAAGTATCATAGTGTTTAATGGGTGATACAAAGTATCATGGTGTTTAAAAGGTGATACAAGGGCTGGAGCAATAATGCATCAAGGAAGGCGTTCGCCTTGCACGCGGCCAACCTGGGTTCGATTCCCAGCATCCCATAGGGTCCCTGAAGCACTGCCAGGAGTAACTCCCGAGTGCATGAGCCAGGAGGAACCCCTGTGCATCACCAAGTGTGATCCAATAAATAAATAAATAAATAAATAAATGGCGCATCTTCCCATGTGGGGTGTGAAGAAACAGTTAAGAAACAGCAAAGTCTCCCCCCCCATCACCGCCAAAACCCCGAGACCCCGAGTCGCTGCCCACGAATGGCCCCTCTGGCTCCTGATCAAGCTGCTTAAACAAGGCCATGATCCCAGAGACTCAGAAGCAAATCTTGGAACCCAGCGGCTTTGGGCAGAAGTCCCTCTCGATTTAATTATTAAAATTTCAGAATTTCAAAATCATACGCTCTTCGTAATCAGCAAGAGAAAACAATTTGCCTAATGTTGCCTTTTCGGCAGGTCTGAGTGTTGGGGGAAAATCCCAAATAATAACGGTGTCGAAATATTGAATGTGATCAAAGTAGAGAGAGAGTCATGTGGAAATCATCTGCTCCGCAGGTAGGGAGAGGGTGTGGGATGGGGGGATACTGGGGGTTTTGATGTGAAAAATATGCACTGGTGAAAGGACAGGTGTTTCATCACTGTATGACCGAGACTTCAACCCAAAAGCTTTGTAATGGCTGTCACAGTGATTCAACAAATAAATTTATTTTTAAAAATTTAACAAATAAAATTTAAAAGATAATCAAGTAAAAAAAAATAAAGAAAGAAACAGTGAAGTGCTGGCCTTGCTTCAGAGATCCGTAAATAAATCTCAAAAGAGACCAAAAACTGCAGTTAGGCTCGGACCCGCGCATGGCTGAATAGACTGGGGTGAATCAGAGCAGGGCGGGTTGGCCTGTCCAAGCAGAGCCCCCAGCAGCCACTTGCTTCCACAATCCAAAATCATCGCCATACCCCCGGCCTGACTCCACTGTCTCCGGACGGACCTCACCAAGATATAATCTGCTGAATATTCGGGTATGTGGGTTTTGTGACTGAAATCTCCAGGCTTTCGTGGGGTCGGGATGGGCCATCTCTCCCCACCTCCCTGTACTTCCAGAAGCCTTGGCAGTCACATCCACACCCAAAGCGGCCACCCAACTGAAAAGCTACTCCAGCCTGACTGTTCTTATAAAAACACCAGGATAGGAGAAGCATGCTGAAAGTAGACTATAGACAGAACATGATGGCCACTCAATGCCTCTTTTGCAAACCACAGCACCCAAAAGGAGAGAGAATGAGGAGCTGGAGCAGCAGCACAGCGGGTAGGGCGTTTGCCTTGCATGCGGCCGACCCGGGTTCGATTCCCAGCATCCCATATGGTCCCTTGAGCACCGCCAGGGGTAATTCCTGAGTGCAGAGCCAGGAGGAACCCCTGTTCATTACCGGGTGTGACCCAAAAAGCAAAAAATAAAAATAAAAAAAGTAATGTGGATGCCCAATTCAATCCGCCTAATCAGTAGCTGAATAAACGGCAGTACCCCTACATTAAATAAATAAATAAAAAGTAATGTGGAGTTCATGCCCAGTTTAATCAGCTTAATCAATGGCTGAATAGCACAGCAGGTAGGGCGTTTGCCTTGCACGCAGCCCACTTGGGTTCGATTCCTCCGCCCCTCTTGGAGAGCCCGGCAAGCTCCTGAGAGTATCCCGCCCGCACAGCAGAGCCTAGCAAGCTCCCCATGGCATATTCGATATGCCAAACACAGTAACAACAAGTCTCACAATTTGTTGTGAGATGTTACTGGTGCCCGCTTGAGCAAACTGATGAATGTCAGGAGGACAGTGCTACAGTGCTATTATTATTATTATTATTATTATTATTATTATTATTATTGGGCTGGAGCAATAGCACAGCGGGTAGGGCGTTTTCCTTGCACACAGCCAACCCGGGTTCGATTCCTCCACCCCTCTCAGAGAACCCGGCAAGCTCCCGCCCACGCGGCAGAGCCTGGCAAGCTCCCCATGGTGTCTTCGAGATGCCAAACACAGTAACAACAAGTCTCCCAGTGGAGACGTTACTGGTGCCCACTCGAGCAGATAGATGCACAATAGTAGGACAGTGCTACAGTGCTACTCCTATATTTAAAAAGATAAGAAAAAAAAGAAACACCAAAGTCCCAAAGGCGATAGAAGCCCAGGCCTGGCCTTCAAGAAGCATCACCCTGGGGCTGGAGCGATAGCACGGCGGGTAGGGCGTTTGCCTTGCACGCAGCCAACATGGCCAACACAGGTTCGATTCCCAGCATCCCATATGGTCCCCCGAGCACCGCCAGGAGTGATTCCTGAGTGCATGAGCCAGGAGGAACCCCTGAGCATCGCCCGGTGTGACCCAAAAAGCAAAAAAAATTGTGACGTGAGGCTGAAGGCCACAGCCACAGCGCCAGTCCGATCCAGCCCAGACTGACCCCAGACTGACCCCTTATACTGCCATCAGTCCCGGGACGTGGACAGAACGGCAAGAGGGGGTCAGGAAATGGACAATCCCACACCAGGAACCCAGCTTAGAGGGCGTCCAAAGCACAGGCAGGACCATGGGGAACGGCCATAAACTGCCCAAGGAGAAGGTCAGCTAGGAATGCCCCATCCATACCCCAAACTGGCACGGCCCTGAGGTTGGCAGGCAGGTGTGTGTGTGGGGTGTGGGGGGCCCAGTCTCTGTCATTCTTTCTCTGCTGATGGCAAGGAGGCAGGGTAAGGCTGGGCCAGGCCGGGCCATCCTGACCCTGGATGCCACCTTCTTCCCCAGGTCACCACGAGGCATGTGGTCAGCCTCTTCGTCCCCCTGGGGCCTAGCTGACCTCAGCGTCCCCACAGCATGGGATCCTGAGGGCCCTCACTTAGTGCCTAAGAAGTACCAGGTGGGTTCTTCCCAGGATCTTAGAGATGTGGACAAATTTCTCTCTCTCTCTCTCTCTCTCTCTCTCTCTCTCTCTCTCTCTCTCTCTCTCACACACACACACACACACACACACACACACGCATAAACATGTGCATTCTGAGGACCTAAGAATACATGTGTGTGGCTTGAGTGATAGATAGCACAGCGGGGAGGGCATTTGCCTTGCACGCAGCCGACCCGGGTTCAATTCTCAGCATCCCATGTGGTCCCCTGAGCACTGCCAGGAGTGATTCCTGAGTACAAGAGCCAAGGGTAACCCCTGTGCATTGCTGGGTGTGATCCAAAAAGGAAAAAAAAAACAGAATATATGTGTGTCCATGGGCTGGAGCAATAGCACAGTGGGTAGGGCGTTTGCCTTGCACGCAGCCAACATGGCCGAGCTGGGTTCGATTCCTCTTCCCCTCTTTGAGCACCCAGCAAGCTACTGAGAGTATCTCGCCCGCACGGCAGAGCCTGGCAAGCTCCCCGTGGCGTATTCGAGATGCCAAACACAGTCACAACAAGTCTCACAATGGAGACATTACTGGTGCCCGCTAGAGTAAATTGATGAACGACGGGAGGACAGTGACAGTGATGTGTGTCCCATGCAGAACACAAATACACAGGCATGACTCGACACATGTACACACACACACACACACACACACACAAGAACGCACCTGTAAACACATAGGCACACAGACACACGTGTGAGCACCAAGACACATAGACATACACGTATCACACATGTGTGCTCTTGCATTCACCCCGAAGCACACAGCTATAGACACACCCCTGCAGTTACATGCATAGGACACGCGTGTGCACACACACACACACACACACGTGTGCACACTCAAATCGGGCCACTGTTTGCACACACGTGTCCGCGCCCAAGCGGTCCTCTATGCACATGTGACCTTGTTTGAGCCGCAGCTGTCCTGCCCTCCCTGTTGCCCGTGGACACGGGATGTGCGTGACCCACCTATGGCCTCTTCCGGCGTCCAGTAGCCTGAGGAATCGCACACGCGCGGGGAGGAGGCCTTGTGCGCGTACTGGTGGAAGGTCCCGTCCTCTGAGCAGGCTCTGCACGCGGCTCCCTCGATCCTGGAAGGCAGGGGGAGGGCGGGAAGGACGTGAGGCAAGAGGGTCAGGGGAGGGACAGGGAGTCACAGCGGATCCATCCCAGGACCCCACCCCCAATTTTTATTTTCTTTTTGGGTCCCACCGGGCGATGCTCAGGGCTGACTCCTGGCTCTGCACTCAGGAATCACTCCTGGCGGTGCTCGGGGGACCCTATGGGATGCCGGGGATCGAACCCGGGTCGGCCGCGTGCAAGGCCAACGCCCTCCCCGCTGTGCTATGGCTCCAGCCCGCTCTTGCGATATTCTAAGAAGCCAACCAACACGGGGGAGTGATCACCCAGTGCTCCCGGCCTCCTGCCCCGACGTTCTTGGCCGTCGCTGGTTCTCCATGGACCCCATGCTGACCCATAAAGAATGCCCAGGCAACCAAGGAAACCTGGTTCATTGCCAAACTCGACCAAGTTTGGGGGTTAGAGCGATAGCACGACGTGGAGGGCATTTGCCTGGCACGTGGCTGACCCTGGTTTGATCCCCAGCATCCCATAGGGTCCCCCGAGCACTGCCAGGAGTGAATCCTGAGTGCAGGAGGAACCCTTGAGCATTGCTGGGTGGGACCCAAAAACAGAAAGGAAGAAGGAAGGAAGGAAGGAAGGAAGGAAGGAAGGAAGGAAGGAAGGAAGCTTTTTTTTTTTCTTTTTGGGTCACACCCGGTGATGCACAGGGGTTACTCCTGGCTTTGCACTCAGGAATTACTCCTGGCGGTGATCAGGGGACCCTATGGGATGCTGGGAATCGAACCCGGGCGGGTCGGCCACGTGCAAGGCAAACCCCCTACCTGTTGTGCTATCACTCCAGCCCAGGAAGGAAGCTTTTAGGTTGGAGAAATAGCACATAAATTGAGATGTTCGGGCCGGAGCCATAGCACAAAGGAGAGGGCATTTGCCTGGCATGCGGCTGACCTGGGTTCGATCCCCGGCATCCCCTAGGGTCCTCCGAGCACTGCCAGGAGTGATTCCTGAGTGCAGAGCCGGGAGTCAGTCCTGAGCATTGCTGGGTGGGACCCAAAAAGCAAAAAAGAAAAAAAGAAAAAAAAAGGAAAGAAAAAAGGTCACATCAAGTTCCTCAGAAGCAATTTCCAAATTTCCAAACAACTTCCAACCCCCTCAAGGATCTGATCTCAGAGGGTTGACCCTGGTCAGTGACGTGTGGGCTTCAAGCACCTCTCTCTCATGAACTTGGGCCACCTCCAAGCACCGGAGTGTCCCCACTTCTCCCCGCCTTGGGGACCTCCAGCGAGGCATAAACACAGCCCCTCCCCCCATGACACAAACAGCGGTGCGGGTGACGCTAAGTCGACAGACTTGTGGCCACCTGTGACGTGAGCCGCGTGGCCGGAGTGTGGTCCTCCGCGGGGGATGGACCGACGAGAATAAACTGTTTATGTGTGTCCCGTAAACTGTGGCATGTCCCAGCCGAGCGGCCTGGGTCACACCTGCAGGGGCCTGTCCCCTCCTATCACACCCAAGACCCCCTTGGCTTTTGAGCTGGCGGGGGGGGGGGGGGGGCTATGACCATCAGGGCCGCTCTGGAATTCCGTGGAATTCAGCAGGCTAGGCAGGAAGTAAGACACCAAGACATCAAGACATCAGTTGAGAGGCAAGTGGGGTCTGGAGAGAAACTATGGGTCTATCCCAGGACCCCAATTTTTATTTTCTTTTTGGGTCCCACCCGGCGATGCTCAGGGCTGACTCCTGGCTCTGCACTCAGGAATCACTCCCGGCGGTGCTCGGGGGACCCTAGGGGATGCCGGGGTCGAACCCGGGTTGGCCGCGAGCCAGGCCAATGCCCTCCCTGCTGTGCTGTCGCTCCAGCCCCTGTCCCTGTTTCTGAAACCCGATGAGATGCAGCTGGGCCTCAGTGCCACCTGGCTCTTCTCTGCGTCTTCTGTCACCAGAGTGAGCTTTCCCATGAGGACTAGGTGATTGTCACTTCTGAGCACTCTGGGACACCTAAACTCATTCCTGGGCCATGCTGGACCATCCTGGTGAAGTCCCACCCCCTCTGTTCACTTGCCAAAGACTGTTTGATTCCTCTCTAAAAACTCACTGCTTCCTGGACACCCCCCGGCGGGGGGCCATCACAGGGCACAGAGATGACGCATTTACAGCACCCGAGTGTCTGCAGGGACAGGGCTGAAAGGAAAGGACACACAAGAAGGTTGTGGACAGAGAGATAGCACAGACGCTGCCTGCATGTGGCGGACCCGGGTTCAATACCCCGCATTCCATAGGGTCCCCTGAGTACTGCCAGGAGTGATTCCTGAGCGCAGAGCCAGGAGTGAGCCCCGAGCATCGCCAGGTGGGACCCACAAAGCAAAAAAATAAAATAAATAAAAGAGAAAAATAGGAGCTGGGGGCTGGAGCGAAAGCACAGTGGGGAGGGCGTCTGCCTGGCACGCAGCCAACCCAGGTTCGATCCCTGGCATCCCATAGGGTCCCCCGAGCACCGCCAGGAGTGATCCCTGAGCGCAGAGCCAGGAGTCAGCCCTGAGCACTGCCGGATGTGGTACCCTCCCCCCACCCAGGAGCCAGAAGGGACATTGGGACGAAGATGGAGAAGGACAAGGAAGGACAACAAGACAGTGGTCATTTGCAGCAGATGGCGCAGCACGGGGAGGAGAGATGGTTTGAGAACTGCCCCCAGGGGACCCCAAGGTACAACCTGAGAGACTCCAGAAGGTGCCAGATGCCTCCTGAGCGTGGCCAGTCCCTGCTAGGGGACGCCAGGCCAGGAGTGAGAGTGCAAAGGGACAGTTTCTCCAGCGTTGGAATCCCAGCACACCATTTTCCATAAAACCGGAAGTGCCACTCCACCCCGTCTCCGGGTTGCAAAGTTCACACTCTCCCCAGGGTGCAGAAGGAAAGGTCAGTATACGGGGGTGGGGTGCTGAGGAGATGGAGCTTGGGGGTTACCGTGTGTGCCTGGCACACTTGGGATCTCGAGTTTGACCCCAGCCCAAACTGCACAGCGTCTCCGGCTATATAAATCTCAGGCATTCCCAGGAGTGACCACTGAGCACTGCTTGGCAGAGTCCCTCAGCACCCCTCCAAAAAAAAAAAAATAAATAAAACAGGGGCTGGAGCAATAGCACAGCAGGGAGGGCGTTTGCCTTGCATGCAGCCGACCTGGGTTCGATTCCCAGCATCCCACATGGTCCCCCGAGCACCACCAGGAGTGATTCCTGAGTGCATGAGCCAGGAGGAACCCCTGTGCATCGCCGGGTGTGACCCAAAAAGCAAAAAAAAAAAAAATAGAGAAAATGCCTCCCCATCTCCTCCCCCTTGGAAAACAAAATGATAAAATGATGCTCTCACCTGTCATACATCTCTCCGCCGATAGGGGGAAGCCAGTGGATGGTGAGGGAACTGGGGGTCTGGCCGATGACCACGGGGGGCATGGGGATGGGGGTGGGCTTCCGCCCGAGGACCCACTGCTGGTAGACCAGGTCCAGGTGGCAGTGCATGCGGGCGACTTGGTTCGGGGTGAAGCTGTCGGTACAGTTATCGTCTGCGGGGAGAGAGACGGAGGCTGGTGGGGGGGTCTACCAAGCGGCCCACAAAGTCTGCTCTGCTCCCCCTGAGTCATGGGGGTCCGAGACCCCCCGCCCAAGCCTCCCCGGGGTCCCCCTGTCAGAGATGCTCCAGCGCCCACGTGGGCACCAGAGGGGTTTCCAGGGTTACCGAGCAGGTGGGAGAAGGGCGCTTCTTCATATCACCACCAGGGGGCACTGTTTCCGCACAGCGCCCGTAGGTGGGGAAAGTTTTGCAAAATCTTCATTTTTTTTAAAAAAAAATTTTTTTATTTATTTATTTTTCTGCCTCTTAGAGCCTGGCCCCAGGTGGAGGTGGCAGGGACGCTCAAGAATTCCTTGTATTGGGGCTGGAGCAACAGCACAGTGAGGAGGGCGTTTGCCTTCCACGCGGCCGGCCCCGAGTTCGATCCCCGGCATCCCCTAGGATCCCCCGAGCACCGCCAGGAGCGAGTCCTGAGTACGGAGTCAGGAGGAACCCCTGAGCATTGCCGGGTGGGACCCAAAAAGCAATCAATCAATCAATCAGTCCATCAAGAGTGATGAACTAGGGACCAAGGCAATAATAGCACAGCAGGTAGGGCATTGGCTTTGCACACGGCCGACCCGGGTTCGATCCCCGGCATCCCCTAGGGTCCCCTGAGCACCGCCAGGAGCCATCCCTGAGTGCAGAGCCAGGAGTGAACGCTGAGCATCGCTGGGTGTGGTCCCCAAACCAAACAGATAAGAAGTCAACGAGCACTTGGGGACACGCCCCAGGCCCCTGGGACCCCCTCTTCCAACATGGGTGACCCGGGTACCTGTGTAGCTCATGTAATTGTTGAAGGGAGCCCCCGGGAAGTCGGTGAAACCACAGGAGTCGTTGACTGGCCCAGGGACGCCACACAGCTTGCTCACGGGCGTAGGGGCTGTGTCAGCGCACAAGTCACCGGTCTCCATGGATGCCACCGTCTCCCGGCAGGGGTCAGCGCACGATTCCAGTTCGCTCACTCCCTTGAAGACGTGGTAGAGGCCCAGGACGTGGCCCAGCTCGTGGACCATGGTGTTGGTGTGGCCAGGCACGCCGTAATACTTGGGGTTGAGCACCACGCCGCCTGCCACGGGAGAGATGGAACAACACAGCCCTGAGCACTGGGAGAAGAGCTCACCGCCTTCCAGAAAAACCAGTCTCCCATTTCCGCCCCCCAAGAGCCACTGAACCCCCTCCTGGTAGCCTCCGGCTCTTTAAGGGATCCCTCGTCCTGCAAACATGCCCTGAGCCAATCCATCAACAGTTGTTTGCTGCTGTTTCTTTGTTTTTATTTGTTTTGGGGGTCCCACCCGACGATGCTCAGGGCTGACTCCCGGCTCTGCACTCAGGAATCACTCCTGGCGGTGCTCAGGGGACCCTATGGGATGCTGGGAATCGAACCCGGGTCGGCCGCGTGCAAGGCAAACGCCCTACCAGCTATGCTATTGCTCCAGCCCCATGCTGGTTTTATTTGGGGGGGGGGGGGGGTGGAGGGACATGCCTGGCTCTGTGTTCAGGGCTGCTGGGAATCCCCCTATGTTGGCTACGTGACAGGGAAGTGCCCTCCCCACAGCGGTTATTTCTTGTGCCACTGGACTAGCTGCCAACACAAAAAGGGCCAGAGAAGGCCCAGCACCGGCTCTGACTGCCTTTGGCATCACCTAGAGGCAGTGCGGGAGATGAATCCTGGTAAGATGCAGTTCCAAAGCTGTTCATGATAGGGTTTCCCTCATACAATGTTCTAACATCGTCCCTTCACCTGTGCACATGTCCCACCAATGTCCTCAGTTTCCCTCCTGTTCCCCACTTATATGGCAGCCACTTTCTCACTCTCTCTCTCTCTCTCTCTCTCCTTTTTTTTATTTTTCAATTGAATCACCGTGAGAGCAGTTACAAAGCTTTCGGGTTTAAGTCTCGGTCATACAGTGATCAAATACCCATCCCTTCACCAGTGCCCATTCTCCACCACCCAAAACCCCAGTATACCGCCATCCCACCCCTTCCCCTTGATGGTATGACAGATGATTTCCACTTTACTCTCGCTTATTTTGATTACATTCAATATTTCGACAAAAGACCCACCATTATTTTTTGAAATTTTTTTAATTAGTGAATCACCGTTGGGTACAGTTACAGACCTACAAACTTTCGTGCTTGCGTTTCAGTCATACAATGATCAAGTTCCCATCCCTCCACCAATGCCCATTCTCCACCACTGATGGTCCCAGCATCCCTCCCACCCCCACCCCACCCCCATCCCACCCTGCCTCTGTGGCAGGGCATTCTCCCTTGTTCTCTCTCTTTTCTTTTGGGTACTGTGTTTTGCAAGAGAGGCATTGAGTGGCAATCATGTTTGGTCTATAGTCTACTTTCAGCATGCTTCTCCCATCCTGGGAGGATCCTTCCAACCCCCTTTACTGGGTGTTCCCTTCTCTATCTGAGCTGCCTTTTCCCCCAGCATTTGAGGCCGGCTTCCAAGCCATGGAGTAAACCTCGTGGTCCTTATCTCTACTATTCTTGAAGACCCATCATTATTATTTGGAATTCTCCCCCATCAACCAGACCTGCCGAAAAGGCATCCTTAGATCATTTGTTTTCTATCGCTGATTATGAAGAGCATATGATGTTGTGCGGCCGTAAGAGCTGCCATGCAATTTTGGAATTCTGATATGTTAGTCATTAAGTCTGGAGGGATTTCTGCCCCAAGCCGCTGGGTTCTGAGATTGGTTTCTGTGCCTCTGGGATCATGACTGTTACCTCTCTCTCATTTTGGGCATTAAGATTTGCAATACAAGCACTAAAAGGTCATCAGGGATATCCGGTTAGTCTACTTAAGGCGCAATCCCTTCCTGCATTCTGGAATTCTCTCCTGCTATTCCAACAGGTCGAGAGGTCTCAGGGGCAGAGAACCAGGTCCTACCTCTCCACCCCCGGGAGCCATCAGGGGCCAACCCCCAAGGCCTTGCCTGGAGGCGTTAGGGCTCCAAGAACACTCCCAGGAAGTGGACTGACCTAGGGTAAAGGCCCTTAAGGATGCTCAAAGCTAGAGATGAAAAGAGCCCAGTGGCAACTGACCCTTAGACTCTGGCCCCACCAGTGTGGGGGTGGGCGGGGGGAGTTTGTGCAGGAACTTGGTTTCGGGATCTCCTTGAAACCGAAGTAGGCAGCACATGGCTAGTTCAAGTGAGGAATTGACGTAGGCAGGCAGATAGGGAAGGCCCCTACCCAAAGCAGTAAAGTAAAGGCCCTCCCGTTGATCGTCGATTTGCTCGAGCGGGGCCCAGTAACGTCTCCATTGGAGACTTTGTTGTTACTGTGTCTGGCATATCGAATACTCTCGGTAGCTTGCCGGGCTCTCCGAGAGGGGCAGAGGAATCGAACCCGGCTCGGCCATCTTGGCTGCGTGCAAGGCAAATGCCCTACTGCTGTGCTATCGCTCCAGCCCCAAAGCAATGGCAGTAAATATCCCAGGAAGCAATAGCCCTGACCTCATGGAGAACTAACTGTCCGACCAGTCTGTGATCAACCCTGCGGAGGTTGGACGCCTACAGGGATGACGGCAGAAGAAATAGAGACCAATTAAGGACCAGAGAGAGGGGGCTGGAACAATAGCACAGCGGGGAGGGGGTTCGCCTTGCGCATGGCTGACCCGGGTTCCATTCCCAGCATCCCATATGGTTCCCTGAGCACTGCCAGGGGTGATTCCTGAGTGCAGAGCCAGGAGTGACCCCTGTGCGTCGCCGGGTGTGACCCCGCCCCCAAAAATAAGCAAAAAAAAAAAAGCTTTGGAGTTTCTGGTTAATCTCTCTCTGGTCCTTCCTTTTTTTTTTTCTTTTTGGGTCACACCCGGCGACGCACAGGGGTTCCTCCTGGCTCTGCACTCAGGAATCACGCCTGTGGTGCTCGGGGTACCCTATGGGATGCTGGGAATCGAACCCGGGTCGGCCGTGTCCAAGGCAAACGCCCTACCCGCTGTGCTCTCACTCCAGCCCCAAAACTCCAAAGCTTTTCCTTTGACACCTGACCGATCCCGTCCAACAGAAGCTCCTGCAGAAACCAAAGTCAGGAAAGGAATTTCAAAGAAAACCATCCCCACTCCCAACCCCCTTGGTAACGTCCCTAGCAACGGACTCGGACCTAGGTAGAAGCCCCAGGTGGGGGCAGGTTGGAGAGACCCTATAAAGGCCACCTTGAACCAAGGGAGGGCACAGATGCTGCCCGGGCCCAGGTGCTGCTTACGCCCACGTGGCCAAGCACATGTGGTACCCAACCAAGCACACGTGTCGCCTGCATCTCCCCTCCTGAGATGGGGACTTTCATGCTCTCCTGTCTAATGCTGGGGTGTGAGGGGGCTCTCTCCGCCCTCGGAGAAGCCCGGATTCTCTCCTGAGCGCGATCCTCTCCGCTCTCTTCCACTTTCCCTCCCTCCATCCCTTAAAAGCCTCCAAATAAAAAACTGCATCATTGCATGTTGAAAGTAGACTATAGACGGAACATGATTGCCAGTCAATGGCTCTTTTGCAGACCACAGCACCCAAAAGGAGAGAGAGAACAAAAGGGAATGCCCTGCCACAGAGGCAGGGTGGGATAGGGGGGGATGGGGGGGTGGGAGGGATACTGGGACCCATGGTGGTGGGAAATGGGCACTGGTGGAGGGATGGGTATTGGGTCATTGTATAATCGAAACCCAAGCACAAAAAATTGCAAATCTACAACTGTACCTCATGGGGTTTCACTAATTAAAAAAAAAAACTGCATCATTTCACTGAGCTTCTCCTGAAATTCCTTTCTGCGAGGCAAGACAAAAACCCAGTGACCCTGGGTCCCGGGTGGCAGAGGCAGATGGGGAGAAAATGACCAGTCTCTCTCATCCCCACTTCACATGAGTCACGCGTGGGGGCCCACCGACATCAGAATGGTCCATGGTAAGGTGTGATGGGAAAGTGGAGAGCTTTAAAGGTCCTTTAAGGTGACCAAATTGGACTGATGATGCCCAGGGCCGGGGTGGGGGTTGAGGGATTTCCCCTATGGCCCCTGGCACAGACACGCCAACTTGGCATCGGACACAAAGTAGGTGAAACAAGAGCCCTTGGCAGAGGGTGACTTGGGGGACGCTCACAGCACAGGGGCCGGGTCAGCGTTCCAGCCACACTGTCTGCATCTGAATGTGTCCCAGCATGGAACATGCAGCCGACAAGGCTGTCCGGTTGCACATGGGCGGCCACGTGGGGCCCAGTTGTGGCTTCACAGGGATGGATGAAGCATGGTGGTCCAAGGAAGGGGGGCGGGGGGGCAGCGAGGGCAAGGATGGCTCCTTAGAAGTCCTTTCGGGCTTGATTATAAGGGGACAGCGGAAACAATAAGACGGGGCTGTGGGGTAGCCCGGGGACAGGGCCGAGGAAGAAAAGGGTTGTTGAAACTGCTGATTAAAGGAAGAACCAAGTGCCAGTCGCTGGCAGCTGCCCTCACCCCAGGGGGTGAGGGGGGTCACCCCAGTGCCAACCGGCTTTCCCAGTTTTACAGCGAGACCACCAGAGTGGCTGGCAATGAGGAGTAGGTGTCCCAAGGGGAAGATGAGTCTAAACCTTTCTCTCTCTCTCTCTCTCTTTCTCTCTCTCTCTTCTCTCTCTTCTCTGTCTCCCTCTCTCTCCTCTCTCCCTCTCCCTCTTTCTCCTCTCCTCTCTCTCTCTCTTTCTCTCTCTCTCTTCTCTCTCTTCTCTGTCTCCCTCTCTCTCCTCTCTCCCTCTCCCTCTTTCTCCTCTCCTCTCTCTCTCTCTTTCTCTCTCTCTCTTCTCTCTCTTCTCTCTCCCTCTCCCTCTCTCTCCTCTCTCTCTCTCTCCCTCTCTCTCCTCTCTCCCTCTCCCTCTTTCTCCTCTCCTCTCTCTCTCTCTTTCTCTCTCTCTCTTCTCTCTCTTCTCTGTCTCCCTCTCTCTCCTCTCTCCCTCTCCCTCTTTCTCCTCTCCTCTCTCTCTCTCTTTCTCTCTCTCTCTTCTCTCTCTTCTCTCTCCCTCTCCCTCTCTCTCCTCTCTCTCTCTCCCTCTCTCTCCTCTCTCCCTCTCCCTCTTTCTCCTCTCCTCTCTCTCT